AATTTTAAAAATCATGCTCGTGTATATATTAACATCTATATAACTATTTTAATATATATATATTTTATTTATTTATTTATTTATTTTAATTATGCTTGATGATACTCACAAAAAATCGTATTAATCATGCATGAATCTTGAGGCTTATTCAAGCTGGAAACTTTCAAAAATAAAATTGGGACCATTTGAACTCCAATTTTAATAGTCAAACTAAATGTCTCGGAGATACGAACTCAACAACACTAAAATCGATCCAATCCGAGCCCAAATGGGTCCAAATCTGAGGCTCGAAGCTTATTTAAAAGGTTCAAAGTCTTAATTGGATGATCAAATGATATCCAAATATGTCATGCTTATAGACGAATCGAGTGGCCCAGCAAGACAAATCCAACGAGCCCAAGATTGTTGAATTCTGACATCATGAAAGCACTTGAAAATACTCTATAATTAGGGGGATCAATATAGGTCGTCTAATTGAGCACTCCAAATTTGCCCCATATCTTCTCCAAATTTATGAGGCATGTCACTCTAAAAAAATTCTAAATAGGCTCTCACACTCTACGTGAAGGGGAACCTTTTGGTGGGAGATTGGAGAGAACTCTCAGGCTTCAAGAGCTATAGGACCACCACCGACGAATCTAAGTCGACCATCATCAGACCACTGTGTAAGTTCGAGGAGGTTGTAAAATCTTATGAAACTAGCCCTAAGGCTCACTAAGATGAAAGGCTGAAAGCAATACTATCACTTGATGAGGAAGCTAGTACACTTACGAAAAGTTATAAAAATGATGATGATAATCTAATCAATACAACATAATATCAATCACAAATTTTCAATCAAACAATTATAATAGAGAATAAAATGTGGAAAAATAAACTACAAAAAATAAAATCAGAAAGAACATGCCTTATTTTATAGTGGTTCGGTCCAATCATGACCTACGTCCACTCCCCGTAGTCACCCACTCCGGGTATTGCACTATCCCTATAGCATTTAGCCCCCATAATTAGGCAGAGAAGCCCTTATAAACTCTCTTCCACTAACCTAGTGCGGGCTGTGCAGCAGATGACCGAACTCCTTTCACATGCAGAGAACATTGACTCATTTTCACCCTCCTGTTGAAGCAGAGAACATGGACTACTTTTCACTCTCCTGATGAAGCATAAAACCTTAAATCACTTTTATTTTCCCTAGTGCGGCGGAGTAGCCGAGTCTTTTGACATCAAAGATATATTTTTCTTCCCAAAACTTTCCTCAAGACAAACCTTAAATCTAATGATACTAAGATACAAGCTTGACAGAGCAACCATGTGAAACCCCCTCCCCACCCCCTTGAACCCCACAAGGATCTTCTCCCTCTCAAACTCCACTCTTTCCTCTCTCCTTTTCAAGGCTCTATCTTCAAGTTTTATCCAGAAGAACAAAGACTCAATGCTTGCCAAAGATACTTACAATGTCTTTGGAGAAAACTTAAATATAGGGCTTAAAAAAATCCTAAAAAAATATTTCAACCATTAAAGATTGTATAGCCCGATTGCAGGATCGTCTAGTGCGATGTGCAGAAATTGACCTGTTAGTACTGTATGATCACCATTTAATATAGTATGAATAGTTCAATATGCATATTCATACAGTACGATCATAAGTACGAACAATTTAATTTACTTTTTAGTACTGTATGATTATCAATACGAATGATCAATCTTACAATATGATTAGTTAAACCAAAATGTAGCTCTTCCCAGACGAATCATGAGATGGCCAAATTCGTCTCTATTGATCGTACGGTACAATCCAGTTCGTACAGTACGATCAAAATATCAATAATAAGCATTAATCACAAGATTAAATTAGACAATATTTTAAATATCGTACAATACGATTATGTTCATTTAGTATGATTAGAATAACGTTTTAAATTTAAAATTTTGTCTAATTTAATGGATGATGGTCTTTCTAATAATAATAGATCGTCCAGTATAATATGTTGTTTCTACTGTACGATTAGTTACATTTAAAATATTTTCTCATAAAAAAATATTTTAATTAATTTTTATAGATTCAGATCATACAATATGATTCATACTATATAATACGATGTACAAAAAATTAAAATATTTTAAATCATTTTTGCTCCTCTTGTGTGTGTACACAATCACCATGCTAATATACTACACCCTAATGGGACTTGACTCAAGAAATTAAAAATAAATAAATAAAAATTATAGACTCATTTAACATAACCTATTCTACCCAATTTTGAACCTTTACTCTTCAAAGAATAGTGCATGGTGTATATGAAATGTTAGTCAACACACAAATAAATATGATTTACAAATAATATGAGAAATAAAGAGGTAATCAATAATATTTGTTATCATCAAAATTATAAACTCGAAAACCCGGGTTGCAACATTTATTTATGCCTCACCACACCAACTAGCGTGGAAGAATGATATCATAGAAGAAATTAAAAGAGAGGAAGGAGAGAGAGGAGAGCGAAAGAACTTTAGATCATATTTGTAAGACATTCTTGTTACAATTTGGTTATATTCATTATAAGTGACAAATTTCTTACTTCCTTTTTTAATGATTTTGATTTCTACGGATTTTATCTCTCATAAATCTATCAAAAATATATTATCTTCTAATTTTATAAGATTTTACCATGCAAGTTTAGATATGTTATAGATTTGATCATTCTTAACAATTTGATATAATTTTATTACATTTTAAATGAAGTATCGAATGATATCAAATTCATGATATGATAACTTCACGTGACACCCTACTGATTCATGTGATTTATTTATTGAGAGTTATATAGAGCTGGAGAAGAGAGTTATAAGAAGTTTGGGCGATTGATTCATGTGATTAAAGGGGAGTTATAAAGAGTATATTAATTGTGAGTAATAAGGAGCGATTAATTGAGAGTTATAAGTGTGAGAGCAAGATATTCATAAAATATACTTATTAAATATCTGAATACTGATACCGACACTAATATGAACATTATACTGACATTGTAACTGACACTAATACTTTTTATTGTCATTAACTCTATTTAATATTATTGATCATGATACTAATATTAATACTATTGACTATTACTGATACTATAATCGATGATGTAATGTATTGAGATGTGATGAACTATAGAAAGATAAATTGATATAAATAATCAATATATACATTGATGCACATATTTATTTATATGATTTACAATATATTATTCTTTTTTATCGTGCTTTGATTTCATTTATAAGATTTTTGTTACTTGTTGGGTTATGTGCTCATTACATAGTTTTATATATTTTCTGGAAAAGATAAGGATCTCATGTTATGAGGCTCTAGATAAGACAAAGATGTAATCATGTTTCTTACCACTATTCATTTGTGAGCTCTAATTAAATAGTTTAAATGACAGACATATGCAATTTTTCCAAAATAGATCATGGAGTGTGGCACCATTGATCATTGTTGTCCAAATACAACCCAACCAACCAAATAAACAAGTCAACGTTCAATTGTGAATGGATTCCTTATCATTGGATTCTTCCAACCCCACTATGCAATATGCTTTATATGATACATTGAGCCAATGCCTTCCCTCCTAAAAGGGCACCATTTGTAACCGACTACAAACACCAGTGAATTCATTTTAACTGAGCTAGCCCCCGTGTAAAATTTTTGGTGTCGCTTATGACTCTTGCACCCATTCGCTTTACCTGTTTGTGTGATGTATCTTCGCACAAACCTATGACGTTAAACTCTGTATCTCTCTTCCAATGCGAATTTTCCAGGACATAACACTTGAAAAATTCTTTTCAAACCACATTATTCTCTTTTGTTTATATGAAACACTTATGCAAGTTCGGCGATAACATATTTGATTTGAATTCAAACATTTGTTTGAATAGGATTCAAATTAGGTTCAAATCTTCTTTCACACGCATCATACCTATGATGACTTTCGCAAGAGTTTGTTGTATGTTGTTGGTTCTATTATTGTCTTCTCCAACAAGCAAAACTATTTTCCTTCTCTCACAATGTCATTCTAGTTTGTGAATCCCCATCTCCATATGCCGTCGATCTCATTTGTAAGCCTTAGATAGATTTGGTTATTAAATTCGATCATGGGATGCATGCTCTAGTGAGTTGTTGGTCTAGGTTCTATTTTAGTTCAAATTAGTTTCAAAATTCACAACATTGAATCACCTTTTTTTTAAAATAAACAAGTTTCCAATATAAATAAAATAATTCGGCATATAAAATTAAAAAAAAAGATTCTCTTTTTTTATATTTTAATTTGAAGCCAAACCGCATACATCGATAGCAATTTACACACATAATTTATGATCAGCAAAATATGGGTAAGCAAACAAAGCACTTAAAAAGTAATTACCTCCATCCCGCCTTACGTATTGGTGGCGGTATGGTCAATAGGTGTTAGGGTGGGAGCCAATGCGTCGAGGACGTGCCTGCGCTACAGCAAGTGGTCCATTCGTCGCTTGCCGGAGATATCGGGAGATATCGGGACCGAAGTGGCGGGAGAAGCGCGAAGGCCGGGCAGCCGAGGGCAGGCAACGCATCCGACATCGGATACCCCTTTCTGTTGCTTACGCCTTCTGTATATGAGGGGGAATAGTCAGCTTCTCAACGTCTTTCGCCGGTTGTTCTCCCGTAGCCGCGTAAGCGCAGAGCGAAGACAAGAGCGAGGGCTGGAAGAAGAGGTCGAAGAAGTAGACGAATACGAAGAGGAAGAGGGAAAAAGGGAGGAACAACTGGGAGCTGTGGTGGATTTCGATCTAACCGTTCTTGCGAACATCCGTTTGCCCAGGCCGGCCATAATGGCTGGAGAACCCCAGAAGAAGGTGTGCCGTCTTATTCGTGCTCCTTTTTCTTCTAGATGATCAATTATGTTTTGATTAATGATCAATTTTTTGTGCTATTTCCTATTTTCCATGGGAGTACTTGGTTCAATTTTTTTACGCTCGCTGTTATTCAAGTAGGAATAGCCAAAACGGGATATTGCGTCCGTATTTCGCCATATCGACCGTGATTTTAGAAGAATTCTGGACTTTGTTTTTTTTTTGTTGCTTTTTGTGGATTTAGAATGCTCAGGCATTCAGGATGGCAGAGCTCTCAGCCGGAGACGCAGTACCTCACCCGTGCTGTTGATTTAGCATTCGTTTTTTGACTTTGTAGGCCGGCTCTCTCTGATGTTGTCGGACGATGGTTTTTAAGCTTTTAATTTCTTGCCCCTCTTGCGTACGACATCGTGATCATTTTTTTGCCGCAAATGCTTGTTAGTTCCTAATTAACGCATTTTCTTGTTTCGTAGTAAATTCAATCACTGAGCTTAGACTTTTCAACACTCCATTATACTTAAGAAGACAGAGTCCGACCGGCACTTGCTTTCTTATTCTATTCTTAACTACATCATATCGTTTTTTTTTTCACTCAAGTGCCTTCCTATTTCCCGGACTACTTCGGTAAATTGATGCCCATGTTATGTTGATTTGATATTGTTTTATTATGTTAGGAAAGGGAATTTTTTAGCAGATATGCTATGTGCTGAATTACTGATCTTTTATGGTAATGAAGTAAGGCTCAGGTTGAATGCGGTGGTAAAATTTAGAGAATAAAGCTTATTTTAATTGTTTATGGAAATTATTTGGCCTTTTTCTTTTGTCTTTTGCAGTGTCTAATCTTTAAATTTAAAAACTTTTAGAATTTGCATGGTACTGAGTTCTTTACCGAGTATGGTGAAGCAAGCCAATATGAGATTATAGAGGTTGTTGGGAAGGGTAGCTATGGTGTAGTTGGCGCTGCAGTGGACAGCCACACTGGAGAGAAGGTTGCAATCAAGAAGATCAATGATGTATTTGAGCATGTTTCTGATGCAACTCGAATTCTTAGAGAAATCAAGCTTCTGAGACTGCTTAGGCATCCTGATATTGTAGAAATTAAGCACATCATGCTGCCTCCATCCAGACGGGAGTTTAGAGATATATATGTTGTTTTTGAGCTAATGGAATCAGATCTCCATCAAGTTTTAAAGGTGAATGATGATCTTACTCCGGAACATCATCAATTTTTCCTATATCAACTTCTTCGTGCCCTTAAGTATATTCATTCAGGTTAATACCTTTTGTTTATTGATTCACTTGATTTATCATGTTTACATTCAAGTTGGTTTATGCAGAATTCTGCTTTGTTACATTAATATGACATATGCATGTCCACCTATTGTTGATTTTCCAGCAAATGTATTTCATCGAGATTTGAAGCCTAAAAATATCCTTGCAAATGCGGACTGCAAGTTAAAAATTTGCGACTTTGGCCTTGCTCGGGCGTCTTTCACTGATGCTCCATCAGCTATATTTTGGACCGTACGTTACTGTTCTTTTATGAAAACCCTTCCTTTAATAAACATATGTTAATTTGTTTGCCTGCATAAAATTTTTTCTTCCCTGTCTCATAAAATAGAGAGTAAAAGTATGAGGCTTCTTTTGCATTCTTACATTGTTAATTGCGTTGTTCCCTTGCCTGAAATGTAGGACTATGTGGCAACAAGATGGTATCGAGCTCCTGAACTATGTGGTTCCTTTTTCTCTAAAGTAAGTTGGTTTGTAATTTTGTTTATTTGCCATATATATATTAATCTTTAACTGCTTCAAAAGTGCAACCCTGTAAGTATATCTTCCTTCTTGCCATGAAATAATTTCTTCTAAAATTATGTGCTCCTTAGTGTGTTCTAAGTTATGTGGATCTATCAATGTACTATTATGCTGCATGTTTGAAAATGAGTATTTTGATCAAATGTTTTATTACATTTTTATGAGTTTCCCATGATTATTTATAATAGTTGTCAGTTGAAATAGTATAGACTAGAGATTTGGATACATGAATGATACTTAACCACCAAGAGATCTGTGGAACTCGGTTCGAAGGCATAAAATTGTTAATCTTGCTCGGCTTAAGTTTAGTATTGGTTGGGATAGCCTTTTTTTAGTTCAGCTAGCAGTTAATTGAACAAGCTTCGTTCAGTTCATTCATGTATTGATTCCTATTGATTTTGTGGGAGAGAAAGATGTGAAAGAATTATGATAATTATGAACTGATAAAAAGTATTGATCATAATCCTTATGAATATGGTTGTTTGGTGAACTCAAGTGATGAAACAAAGCATCTTTCCACTAGCTCTGGAGCGATTGATATACTAGTGTGGCAATGAAGATTGTAGATATCCATCTTTGCCTCGAATGACTAGCTGCATAGAAACTTGATATTCAATTGCATGCACATTATCTTGCTTTTTCTTGAAGATCTAGGAGCAAAGAGAGAAAAAAAATAGGGTAACAACTTCTTATCCTTGAAATTGATTAAAACATTAGTTGTGAGGAATTAATTTTTTCCAAAGGTTGTAGTTGCAGTTAGAGTGATTTAGTATCCTTTAGGAACCTTAGGATTAAATTTGGAGAGATGTGGATAGGTATAGGAGAGGTTGGATTGGCCAAGCCAAGAAATCCCCACCTCGGCTGAGTGCATGTTGAACTACTTTGGGAAACTAGGGTTTGCAGGTGGAGGGCCCATGGACTTGAAATCACTTGAATATTTTTTAGGGATGCCTATTGATGAGATCTGGTACTTGCTGTAATTTTCCAAGTATTTTAGGTTGGGCAAATTGGGGCAAAATTCAAACTAGGTCATGTTGACCTAGTTTGGCCCAATTGCATGTAAATGGTATTTTTTTCCATTTTGTTTTAAAGGAGAATATAGGGTTTGTCCATTGATAGTTAGGAGGATGTAGGAGACACATGGGAATGAGTTTAATGACAACTCATAGGGTAAAATTGCAAAATTCAAATCCCTCACCAAAGGGAGTCTCTCAGCCACCAAACTAAATACTTCCAAATTTCATTCAAACATACTTTTATTATTTTCCATAGAAATTTCAACATAATTATACACAATTTTCCTGGATTTGATATTTAAATTTTGAATTCCAAATAAGGAGGGAAGTTTTTCCTTGTTTCTAGGGCTGGTTGGGTTGGTTTTTTTGGAAAGAGGGGGCTGGCCCCTTCAAGGAGTTTGGTGTGAAGTGGCTGCTTTGGCAGAATTTTGACTTGTTTACTCCTCTTTGTCTGCACCTGGACATCCTTGAACCAATTAAAATAAGCTTTGAAGCATCCTTCCTTGCAAGTCAAACTCCAATGGCATGGGCAGTCACATCCATCTAGCTTGCTTTCATATTTTATCTTCTTCCCAACTTAACTTCTTTGTTTGGTGTAATATGGTTGTGACCACTTGATGTATGATATATTAAATCCTAAATCCTTGTGCAATATAAGCACACAACATATTGTCCATCATCTTGTCTTTTTACATCACATACACACAATCATTTACAAGAATTAAAAGAAAGAACCATGATAATTATTTGTTTTCCATAGATATAGTAATAAGCCAATGCTACAATGCATCAAGTTGTGACATCAAATGTGAAAGATAATGGGAAAGGTGGAGAGTGGGAGAAAGAGATAAGGAAGGAAGGTATTTGTGTATGTGTTGGGGGGAGAGAGAGAGGGGGGAGGAGAGAGAGAGAGAGAGAGAGAGAGAGAGAGAGAGAGAGAGAGAGAGATGCTTAATTATATTGATAAGTCTCTCATCCGAAGTAAATGAATGAATATTCATATTATACTAATGATGCTCATTACACATTGATTTAAACTTTTGGGTTAGTAGATTTTCATCCACTATTGCATTATAACTAGCTATAGCATATAGTTAATGATTTATGCATGGTCAAATAGTTCTTATAATTTATTGCTCCCATCCTTCTTGGCTATTTCTATCATGATTGAAGTTTAAGAAAGGATGCCTCTCTTGTTGGCTCCTTGTGGATGGATAGGCTTTTAGTGTATGGACATTTGATTGTGCTTGGAGATTGATGTAGTTAAGACTCACTTGAGGGGAAGGTTGTGGTGATGTACATGAGAGTTGTTTAAATTGTCCTAAAGTAGACGTGAAACAATGAATTTGAGTATTTATGTACTAATGGTGGCATTTTGCAATTCACTTGGGCCTTTTATTGATAGTTAACCATCTACTAGTGTATGAAGCTTAACTTGAGCTCCTTATTCTATTCCTTATAAGATTATTATGTGTGGGGCAGATTTTTAGATACACATAGGAGTGAAATAAAGAACCACAATCCTAAAATAGTAGTACTGGCCCTTGCGTATTATTTTACTCTTTTAATTTAATAGATATTCATTCACTAATGACTTGGGATCAACTCAATACCCTTTTGCTTCGGCACTAACTAGAGGGAGGGAGTGCATAGGAGAAAGGTATCATGGTCTTACACAAGCACTTGGCCATTCATATGCAGACGATCATATAAGGGGTATAGGATACAACTAGGAGTGCGTTGAATTATCCTACATCAGAAATGAAACAATGAACAATAGTTCTAATATATTAGCGGCAGCCCTTGCACGTTAGCTTAGGATTTTAGATTAATAAATATTCATTTACTAATGATTTGTGCTAAGCTCAATCCTCATTTGGCCCCCTCGACTAGAGGGAGGGGAGTGCATAGGAGAGAGGTCTAAATTGTTATGGAATCTTATTATTGTCCTCTGAAGGAAACACATTATACAAACTTAGTCGTGGGAGAAAGGGGGAGTGCTATCCAATATTTGTGATTATTTCATTAAGGTTATTTTTGAAATTTATTTAATTTTTTTGCTGCCTTATGTTTTTTCCTTATAAAAGGAGAGAGCAGCATCTTTTATTATGCAAGCGAAATTCGGGTTATATTTCTTTATTCTTCACAATAAGGCTAAGTGAATCTATAGCATTGATTATAGGATGTAGCCATCAATTGGTTCTTGTATGTTATTGGGCGATGATCTTCTATTTTGTTTCCTCTTTTTTTTACTACATAGGTTTCATATATTTTCCAATACAAATGTCTTACATAAGTGTATGATGGTCTATAACCTTGAATGATATAGATTTAGTCTGTATATATTCAGTACCATTCATACATGACCTTGAATGCTTAAGATTTAATATGTATTTATCCAGTAGCATTCATCCATAACCTTGAATGATCAAGATTTAAAGTGTGTAATTTTGAGACCTAAAAAGGAGGATGATTTAGTTCCCAATAAAATGAGGTTGATTTGAAATACTTATATAGGCACAGTACTAAGTTCTTGAATATTAACTGAGGTCTGATTGGTTTACTTGATTCAACATGCTTTTATAAGTACAATAGTAAATAATGGTTAGTTATTTCTCCACGCTGAGTTTGCTTTTGTTATCCAGACAAGATAAACTTTTGTATGGTATAATGATTTTACAAAGTTCATGAGGTATCTGTCCTAACTGTCAGGATTATGGGCTATACCATTTTGACAGCCTTGAGGCTCTCTTTCATGTGAGGGTGGAGTGGTTCTTTAGCAGCGTTGAAGTTGGCGTATTGTGATGTGAACACCACGGGTATTGATTTAGAAGAACACACTCTCTGCACATGTAGGGTGATTCTAAATACATCATTTTCTCTACAGATTCTGACTTTTGCATAGGCATACTTCACATGTACGGTAATTCTGCATACATCATTTTGCACGAAGTTTCATTGTCACATCTGGTGAAGAGAATAGTGTGCTTTCTTGTGCTTTGCTTAGCTTAAAAGCAAGCACGTCGGTAATTTTTTTGCGGGTTGAGAAGTCCTATTAAAGTATTGTGGCGATGATAGGAGGGATATCGCATGGTTTCTATAAAAAAGGTTATGCTCTAGCTTATGAATTAACCAGCAATTTAAACTATTGTAGGTTTATAAGTTGATAAAAAGTTTATTTAAATGATTTCTTATTTCTCAAATTGTTTTTGTTTCAAGTTTGAGGCCTCATTGAAATGTAGCTGATGATTTTTTTTCAAGATTTTCATTGTTCTGAAATTATAAATGATGTTCATTGATAACTAAATTTAAATAATGTTAAATTTTTCATTGGGTTTGGAGCAGTAGACTTGGTTAAATTTCTTTAGTGAATATCCATGAATTACTGGAAGTAGATGTTAAGCAACTTTAAAAATGATTGTGCATTAATCATTATCTTCCAGCATACTACCCATATATGGCTTGTTATGAATAGTTTTGAAAGATTTTCTCTGTTGTTTGTCAAAGAATAATGTCGATTGTGCATTTGTGCTCATATTATTCAACCTGCTTTTAAATGTCTTTGGATTCTACGCACCCTTTTCCTATTTGCAAATTACGATTTAGTACTTACTGCAGTGAAGCTTCCCTTCTTCCAACAATTTCCTTGCTTCTAACGTGTGTGTAAAATTCCACCCCCTTCTCATCTACTTTGTGTTCTTATTTTTCATTTTTCTGCATGTTTATTGATCCTATAGAACATAATCATAGGCCAACATATCCACTTGGCCTGACCGGCATCCGGCCCTGGATCTAGGCAAGCTTATCTTGCCGAAAAGTCATGTCCAGATTCAATATTTGAAGCCTGAATGTGTCTAGCTGGGCTTATCTATTACAAAAATGTTTGGTCTGATACAACATGCTTTGGATACGCAGATGGACATTGAAGTTATTGCATTTATCATCATAGATACTGTCATACAAATGCTTTTGTGATTAATTATAATTTTGGTGGCTTATTATTTGTTCATATTGCTAGAAATTTTGGTACACCAAGTGAAGCATTACCCATTTATTGTGTTTTGAGTGGCCCATTTGGCTTGTCATTTAAGTTCATCACTTGGACCGATGCAAGATTCGATGGTTAGGTTGTTTGCATAATACCATATTGATTGCACTAAGGCTGTCATACTTAAGGCATTCTAGGCTCAGCTGATGATTTGGCATGGACTGATCATATTCTGAAATATGCCCGAATTAGTCCACCAACTTGTCAATTGATCACGGCTAGTTTAGTAGTTTTTAGCCTCAATAGTGATAGGAGACCTTTTTAGATCTCAAGTATTTCCTATCAATCTTCGGAAAACAGCGAGAATCCTCCACCAAAATCCACACAAAATCACAAAAATAGTAGATAATTTGGATTATTTGATGAAAGGGAAACAGAAAATAGCAAGATATAATTGATCCTCTATTCGAGAGGATCGATCTCTCCCAAATCTCTAGACGCCGCTAGAGCCCAAAAGATAACCTAAATCTAAGAGATCTCAAATTTCAGGCAAATTCAAGATGCCCTAACCCTAGGAAAACAAAGTATTTAATGCATACAAATCAAAAGGAAATCCTTAAACAGTCCCTACATTCAAATTCCCTCCTAAACTTTCTTAAAAATCCTTCCTAAATCAGTTGGTTGTCGCTTGCGGTGCGGTCGGCTACTGAAAGAGGCGGATGTCTCCGCCTCGGTTCTGCCTGGGCCGATCCCGCGTGGACCGGCTGGACCGGTCTAACAAATAGTTTTCATGACAATGTTCATGTTTTCTAGGATTTATATTGGTTAATTAGTAGCATATAAGAAAAATTACACGACTTGAAACTAAGTCCTTTTTAATTGCAGATCTACTATTTTATTGTCAGCTGCAGTTTAAAATAGATGAAATGCCCTTTGTTTATGGGTGTGCGGGTGCCATCAGAGTTGGGACTTAGGATTTCACCCTTGCAGGTCTAGCAGCTTATTTGTGCAATTAGGTGTCCCAACTGCGATGCATTGCTGTGTTTGAGGAGACAATCTAATATTGTGGTAGGCGCAGTTTTGATAAAAGCAGCCAAGAGCATTTATATGACGCTGTTTTCTGATCTACTAAAATATCGGAGGGCTACTTGGGACTTCAAAAAATTGACGGATACTAGTCTCATTTTATGTGAAATTAGTGACATGTTGTTTTTCCAGCATAATTTCTCTACATATATTTTTTCACAATTCATAAGCATGTTTCTCTTTAAGTTTATAACAAAAAAAAAAAAGAAACATGCTTTTAAAAATTGATAAAAAAATAAATTCTAGTGAGATTTATTATGATTATAAGTTGAAGTCTGACAATGAGGATTATAAGTTAGAAGTCTGATAATGAGGTAGTAAGTAATATGAAAGCTATAATTTATTAATTTTTTTATTATTTATATGCTAGGCTAAGTACTATGGAAAGATAAAATGAAAGTATAAAATAATTAAGGCAAGAGGTAAGAGCCCTAGATATTTTGTTTATGTTAGATGCGCTAGAAGTAAATACAATAAGTTCTCAATGGTTAAGAAATCTTGGAAATGGAAATACTATTTAGAGAATTTATTAAATGACAAATTTTAGCAAGAAATTATTTTGAAAGAGCATGATGAATAATACAATAAGATAATTATAAAATGATCAAGAAATGGGAAGTTAGCTTCAAAGGAGATGCATCAAAGTAAAGCTCTAGGTCTATATGAGATAAATTTAGGTCTAGATGAAAAGTGCAATGAGGTCTAAATAATTATGGGTGATATTGTAGTTGCTTGGTTAAAAAGTATGGAGGTCAACCTTAGAGTCTAAAGTTTTTTGTTTAAGTAGATCTAAAACGGAATATATGGAGTGTAATTTTAGTAGTAATAGACTTAGTGAGGGGATTGTGACTTTGGGCGATCAAGTCATTAATAAGAGTACACATTTTAGATATATTGAATCTATTGTTCAGAGTGATGGTGAAATAGATGGGGATATTATCAGCAAAATTCAAGTTGGATGGTTGAAGTGTATGAATGCATCGGGCTTATTATGTGATAGAAAAGTCCCCCTTAAACTTAAGGGGAAATTCTATAAGATGGTGATGAGACCTGCAATGCTTTATGGTGCCAAATGTTGGACATTTTAAAGAGAAGCATTATACTAAATTAAGTGTTGCAGAGATGAGGATGCTCAGGTGAATGAGTGACTTTACCCTTAGAGATAGGATACAAAATGAGCATATATGTGAAAATGTTAGAGTAGCTCCAGTGGAAGATAAGATTAGAGACAGTCGCCTTAGATGGTTTGGTCACGTAAAACGGTGACCTTCCGATGACCTGGTTAGGAGATTAGAGGTATTAGATTTGACTTATGTTAAAAAAGCTAGTGGTAGACCTAAGAAGACTTGGTTAGAAAATATTAGACAGGATCTTTCTTTATTAGATTTAAATGAGAATTTGACTTTTAATAAGACACAATGGACAAAAAGGATTCATGTAGCTGACCCCACTTAGTGGGACAAATGCTTGATGTTGTTGTTGTTGGTTAAAAAATCAAATGATTTTTTTTAAGCTAAGAGGAAGATTAATGATTGGAGAGGAAGCATCTTGATAGCAATATTTCAGATTTAGGGACATTATAATTGTGGTAATTATTGAGGGATTAAACTAAAAAAATTATGTCACAATGAAGAATCAATTTGTTTTTGTTCCAAGAAGAATCTTGGTTGAAATATTTGTTTTATTATGATAATTAAAGGACAAATATATAATAAAAAATAATCCCCTTATGACTTTATTGATCTTGAGGAGAATATTCTATAGCATTATGGGACGAAGTGATGGAAAAATATTCTTAAAAATTTTTGTTAACAACGAATAGTCAATTTGGTTTTGTGCCAAGAAGAATCTTAATTGAAGCTTTTGCTTTGTTATGACTATTAAAGAAAATATATAGCAAAAATTGACTCTCCTATGGCTTTTATAAATCTTGAGACGAATTATAATCGAAAACCAAGGAGTTAATTTGGTGTGCTTTAAGGAAAAAAGTGACTCAAAGGTTTTAAAGATATTCGGCAAATTTGGTGGGTGATATCAACAACTATTAATCTATATTACTAGAAGATTAAATGATACCTATATGTTATTGGTTTAAGTTTTTTTGGTCTTACACAGAAGAGTGATATATAGATGAGGATATAACTTTTAGTATTCAAGTTGGATGGTTAAAATAAAGTGTCTTATGATTATTATAATATCATAAGATATCATGGGAATATAATTTATTTTTTAAAAGTACTATTAGATTGGCTATGTTTTATGAATAATAGTATTAGAATATAAAAATGTTACTTTTAGTGATGTAAAACATGATAAAAAGATGTTAAGATGAATATATGAAAAATTATAAAGTCGAGCTTGAGAAGTGCTTATGTTAAAGGGATGGTTGGAATATTATTAGCTTAATGCAAAATAGTGAAAAATAGACTTAAATAGTCTAGACATGTACAATATAGGGTAGAAAGTGCACACATAAGGGTTTTAGATTAAATTAAGAGTAGTGCAACACACCCCAAACCAATCTACACAAAAAAGCATTTTGTGGCCCACTTTTTTGTGCTTTGCAATGAAAATGGGGAGTGTCATGCACTTTTGTTTGTGTAGGATTTTTTATTGGTATACATAATTAAGTGAGGATGTTGCATGAGCTTTTTTAGGTTTTTTTTGTGATTCTATTCTTGGAAATTAACGCTGAATGATTATAAATACAAAAGTAGACAAAAAATAGTATGGATAGAAATTGCACAAGATGATCATGTAGATAGATTTGATAGCTCATTCAATACACAATAAGATTAATGAAGGACGAGGATTCTTAAAATTTACTCCATGCTATGCTGATGAATTTTTTATATATTTATAATCAAAATATCTTACTGTTGGTTTGAAGGTAAGTAGTCATTCATGCAATAATTAAACATCAGTAAGACCATAATGTTCCCATGCTTTAATATCATTTTCAATGCTTAATTATATTTTCTTGATAAGTTTACTACTCATAACCTAACGTAAGTCTTATACTTATGTCAGACAAGGTTGATTTCCTACAAGTAAAATCCAGGCTAATTTGTTACATTTGCATGTTACAGTATACCCCAGCTATTGATATTTGGAGTATAGGATGCATATTTGCGGAAATGCTATCAGGAAAACCGCTATTTCCTGGAAAGAATGTGGTTCATCAATTAGACCTCATGACTGATTTACTTGGCACTCCCGCTCCTGAATCCTTGGCGAAGGTTACCTCATATCCAAAAAGATAGTTTTTGTTATTTTGTGTATGATTATATTTTTCTCTTATATAACTTTGATGAAGCTGTTCCAAAAAATTTGCATCTATTAAGTTCCTTTGAATTACATTACACCTTGCATATATGTTATAACCTATATTATGTTCCTTTAATTTTCATTCTAAGGACATTAATGATGGTTCACAGAGGCCTTCAAGTTATTGTGGATCACAGTAAATTAAAGCTGCACGATTTAAAAGAAAATTTTTTTAATCGATCAAGCCCTCTTCAACTTGAAATTAGCTCTATTGGCAAGCTTCGACGCTAGGCCAATGTGGTCTTTTGGATGAAACAACCTACAAACTATCCACAAAGATCCTTCGATCATGTTAATATGACTTTCTCACTAAGTAGACCAAGGTACATATCTGACCTAAAATGCTGATAACATTCAAACCAGTAATATGAAGTTGTTAAATGATGGTGAAATCTCTAGATGATGCTTAGTCACTATGTCATTCCACCTTTTGAAGCATTCTCTCCTGATTTGTAAGAACCAGTGAGAATCCTTTTAATGCTCATAATTCTTTCATACACCAACTCATGCACCATATCTTGATTTTTCTTGAGCTGAACGGCAGTCTTGCGATCATATATTTTAATGAATCGTTGACCTAATATCAAATTACCATAAACAGTCAAGGAGCAAGAAATGTAAAAGAAAATTTTCATGGCATGAGATAGTCACTGTAAGTTCCTCGCAATATCATTTTGATTTCGAAGGGCCCAGTCATATTCATAGATTTTATAAATAAGGTGTTTCCATCCTATAAGTAGAAGCACAAAAAGAATGGATTAAGCTTCCTAGAGCACCATGAAGAAGAAGAGAATCTCATGCTTGTATAGAAAATGAGCTTTGTTAGGTTTCTTATTATGTTTACATTTTTAGTTTATCAAATTATTCCTTGTTTAATAATAGTTTGGTGATTTAACATGTGGGCCTGGCGAAAGTTAGGCATTTTTTTAATTCTTTTACCTAACATAATAATACTCTAGTAGGTCTATTTTGAACAAAAGGTATACATGTTACAACATCAATATATTCCTTTATTAAAAAAAAAAAAGAATTTGACAAAAGAATATGGTATATGTTATGTATTATTCGATGATTATAAACTTTGACATTTGCATCATTGTAGCTCAAAAACACATTATTAAATCAATTTATTTAATAAAGATAGAAGTTGATAGTTGATATCGTATTTTATGCAGTTTAATAAACTAGGCTTAACTTTTTTGGTATTTAAGTATTTATGTTAGTTTTATTTAGGATCTTGGATGAATTATCCATTTTGGATTTCAAGTTTAAATTTGAATTAGTTTGCATAAGGTTTATTTTGATTTTATAATTGACTTATCTTGTAAATCTATTTCTATAAATAAAGAAGTCTAGTCATGGATTTTAGAATCAATGAATTGGGTAAAGATATTTGAGTTTTACTCAACTGCCTTCTCTCTTTAGAAATAGATTTTACTCAACTGACTTATCCCCTTTCTTTTTGCTTTTTCTACCTCTTTGATCTTTCTCTCTCTCTCTTTCCTTTCTTTCTCTTCTCAGGAATACTTTTTTTCCTTTTTCTCCTTCCTCTTATAACGTTGTTTTGGATGAACTAGTATCATAACTAAAACTTCTATTGAGTTATTGTTCTTACTTCTACAATAGTAGCAATTGCATCTCATCCACAAAATCACAATTGCAATTGTGCTTGCCCCTGACACATTCCTGAACTACTTGCATCCATTGCATCCAGCCACCAGTTGGACACATTGACGCCCTTTACCCCAACTTCTCTGCATTCTGTGCCGACCACAACATCACTCACCAACTCCACCTTCTCGTTGCATTGTCATACAAACAATCCAACAAGATTCATCTAGAAAGAACTCTGGTTAACTATTGCGCTCAACTTTCTCATTAATTGCATTTCTTATGCGACAAAATTTAACTCTAAATTGCTGTCACTCATGTAGATCGGAAACGTTTCAGTTCATTTACGACTTAGTACCGGGAGCCCTCCTCTTCATCCTTTCTTCCATCTACTTATCTCTCATAAATCTATATATGCAACTCTTCACTTGAGATCTCCATTGCATGCCAAACATACGATTGCAGTTAGGGGGAAATGGCAAATGTGATTTTAATGAATCTGTTGGCCATAAATCTTAGCTCTCTTTAACTTACAAACATCGTCTACTTCCCCTACTTTACAGCAACACTAGGCTTGTTGACTAGATCACCTCATTGTCAAAGTTGATTCCACCACCGATGAATTATTTTGCATCCCCATCTTCATTGCCGTCAACTTTTGCACTGACCTCATTGTTTTGCTCTCCCATGCACTTGATGCTAGAACTACCTCCTATTAAGCAATCTCATCGCACTCAATTATGCTTGTGTCCTTGCCCACACATTCACGATTGCTCAATGGCCTCTCTTGCACACTCTACATTGCCAGTCTCAATTTTTGCTTAACTCGAACATTCTACTATCTATTTTTGAGTTTGTTGCAATCAAATTCGCTAACTGCATTACCTTAACCCAGTGCACAACCCAATTTAGCCCAATCTAGCTCCAAACCCCATGGTAAAAAAAAGGATGTTCAATTAGTTAGTATTTTATTTAGAATGGATCAGTCCAGCATTTTATAGGAAGAATTCAAAACTTTTGGAGATATCATTTCAAAATTTTGATTTTGTTCTCGAAGATTTATGAAAGAGCAGTATACTAATATTGTTGATTTAGTAATGTTCTTTCCTTTCATCTCTTTCTCATTGGGATAGAATTTCCCTTTGTCATCTCTTCTCTGAGATGGACTTCACATTCATCTATTTTTCTTTAGGATGGATGTTGCCAACTCTGTAGTACAATTGACGATCTTCAGTTATTCCTCAAGCAATATTTTAACCCTCTATAGTATATTTCTTTGAAATCCAAGGAAATTGATAAAGCATGGTTAATTAGGTTTATATATATTTTGGATATTTTACGATTTGTTCTCATATAATTATGATTTTGGATAAATTATCTCTTTTTGAATAATTTTAGGTTTAAATTTGAATTCTCCTTTCTCTCCCTCTACTCTTAGGTCTTAGGTTCCTCTTTTAGTCCCTTTTTCCTTTTTCTTCTCTTTTGTTGCCTTGCTTTGTATTAATAGCTAGTTGGGAGTGCGTTAGTGAATCCATAATAGAAGATTGCATTTAATTAGTAGTTAAAAGTAAATTAATTGGTAGGAGTTAATTAAATTGAGGTAACATTGTGTTTTATAAATACCTCAATTTAGGAAGGATTAGATATAAATACCTCAATTTACGCGGGGCAAGTGTGAAGGGACCAAAGTTGCAAGTTAACTGCATGCTCTCTTAGGCTTGTTATTAACTCTGATTTTATTATATCTTTTTCTTTTGTGATATATGCAGATTCGAAATGAAAAGGCTAAAAGATATCTTAGTAGCATGCGCAAAAAATTCCCAGTTCCCTTCTCACAGAAGTTTCGCGATGCAAATCCTTTGGCGCTTTGTTTACTTAAACGTTTACTTGCTTTTGATCCTAAAGATCGTCCTACTGCTGAAGAGGTGATGAACTTCAAATTTAAAATGGTTCAAATGTGAAATCAAGTCCTTTATTAAGCAAATATATGGTTGTAGTTGGTATAATGTGATACTTGATATTCTTTCATGCAGGCTCTATTAGATCCATACTTCTATGGACTGGCAAATGTAGACCGGGAACCTTCAACCCAACCAATTTCAAAACTTGAATTTGAATTTGAAAGGAGGAAACTTACAAAAGAAGATGTTCGAGAATTAATCTATCGAGAGGTAAATGTCTAGGAGAGTGGTTATGCTTTATTATAACAACTATACTCTTAATCAGTGGCGGAACCACTTAAGGCTTAGGGGGGGGCAATTGGCCCCCCTCAAAAAAAAAAAATTTATAGCCCCCTCCTAAAAAATGATTTTTGCCCCCCCTAAAAAACTCTTTTGTCCTAACTTGTCATAAAATGTCTATATATTTCTTCAAATTTAGTTCTAATATTTTATTTCGTGTTTTTCATGACAATTTAATTACACTTTTTTTCTTTATTTTTCTTGCTTAATTTTTTTAAATAACTTATGTATTGTACTTGCCCCCCCTCAAAATTGAAGCTGGTTCCGCCCCTGCTCTTAATCACTGTACATTTCTTATTGATGAATTTCGATTAATGCTAACAGATTTTAGAGTATCATCCTCAAATGCTTAAAGAATATATTCGTGGAGGAGAGCAGACCAGCTTTATGTATCCAAGGTAACATCATTTATCTGTCTGTATCGTTATTTAAGATGACAAGGGCTTTTTAGTTAGTTTTGGATATGTAATTTAACGCAGACCTTTTCTTCTAGTAAAATTACTCAACCAGCTAGTCTTTTATTGCTCATAAATATTATATTTTGCAGTGTTCTTAGTAATTTTGAACCAGAAAAACTTCATAGTTGTTTTACAAGGAAATGTTGATATGCTCATCATATCTAGTTTTACAGTGGAGTGGATCGCTTTAAGAGACAATTTGCTCATTTTGAAGAGCATCCTGGGAAGGGAGAAAGAGCTACTCCAGTTTTGCGGCAGAATACTTCTTTGCCCAGGTAAAAAATCAAGAGTTCCAATCGAAGAGTAGTGTCACATTGTTCATCAACTTAGCACTTAATAACGTATTGATCTGCATTTTTTTTTCAGGGAAAGGGTTTTACCGACTAAAGAAGAAAAGGCTGATACAGAGAATGATCCTGAAAGGCTAAGTGTTGCTGGGGCTGTTAATTCAAAAAATGATAGCCCTTCCAAATCTCTGCAGGGTAATGCCTCCGAGGATTTTGTGGTTGAAGAAAACGTGCAAAACAGATCGAATTATAGTGCGCGTAGCTTGCTGAAGAGTGCTAGCATCAGTGCTTCCCAATGTGTAAAAGTGGAAGGACGAACGGATGCTAAAGTAAGTTTGTAGATATTACCTTCTTATTTAGTTTTGACACATTTATAGGAAATTCATCCATTTTGGTGAAATGCTAGAACATGTTTTAACATTTGCTTAATATTTGTTTTTTAATAGAAAATAAATATAAAAAATCCTCTAATAAGTAACATAGAATTGTATGTCTAAATTTAGGGTTTATAGATTTATTTTTATTATGATATGTATATAATTATTATGCATAGTATTGCATCGTATGAGTTTATTCGGAGATTGGAGCAAACCCTCATAGGCTTGAAATCAACTCGGAATTGGATGAATTTCGAGTGAAGTTCCGATTTCAATGAGTTTATGTAAATCATGCATATAAAGAATGGTAGTGTCTTGAGATATGATGCTTGTTGTGGAAATTACAATTTTTATGAACTTTCTTGATGTAGAGCGGTTAGGAGGATTGAGTCGTAATGGTCTTGAAGAGCAAATCATCCCAAAAATCTGAAAGAAATTTCGTTCAGGAAATCTGAAATTTTCAGATTTGTTCTCAGGATTCAGAAAAGCATTCCAACTTCAGGTGCTGGGAAGAAAGAATTATGGGAGGAATTTTAGCCTTTAGTCCAGCAAGGCTCTGCCGTGAGAGAGAGGAGCTTTTAGGGAAAGAGGAGGGAGACGGGTGGGAGAGAGAGGGGGCTGGCGGGATTGTGAAGCAAGTGGGGAATTTGATTATTTCCTAAACTCCAATTAAGAAAACCTGTAAGGAGGTTGACGGGATGGGGAGAGAATTAGGGAAATAGAATAGGAAATTAATGACTTAGAGAATTTATTTCCTATTCACTCTCAGCCCAGGGAAACAATTAATGGCTTGGGCTTTGAATATCACGGCTGGTAGGAAGGAGGAAATTAATTTCCTTTCCCTCAGCAGGAGGAGTTTCAAATCTTTCCCTAGATGCCTTGAGGAAAATTCGGCCAAACAAGAGGAGTTAATGAGGTGATTTAATGTTCTCAGATTTTGAATTTAAAATTCAATTGAATTTAGAATTCAGTAATGGATTCAAATTAAGAAGGAATTCATGACATTTAATTCATAATGCAAATTTGAACTTTGAATTTGAAATTCAAATAGCATGCAATCAAATCCCTTAATGAAACATTAAAGGAGAGGGGACCACCAAGGGGCCGGCGGCATGGTGAGGGAAAGGGATTTAATATGAGTATTCAAGGCTTCATAATTTGGTTTAATGAGTTAGGAAAGTAATGAAATAAATCCAATTTGAATTTAAAATTCAAATAAATTGATTTAAATTAAGTACTTTCCTAAAATAGATGAACCAAATTAGGAATGAATTTGAAATTTGAATTTGAATATTTTCAAATTCAAATTAATCCCTAAGTTAACCCAACCAAAATTAGGAAATCCAAAAGGGGGTGGAGAGGAAGGTTCGGCCGGCGGCTAATGGGGTGGAGCCGGCGGCATGGGTTCAGGTATGGGGGGGATTTCGGGTGGAGGTGAATCTGGTGGCCAAACGAAGATGGGGAGGAGGAAGAGGATGGAAAAAATAATTAAAGAAGAGATAAAACGAAAACAAAGATCGAAACAAACGATAGAAGATAAAAATGAAAGATACATGATAAAATAGAAACCCCGAGTCTCGGACTCTTCCGAAAACTAACGGGTGATGCTTTGCTCTTCTCCAAGGGACTTCAAATCACGAGTCCGGACCCATCCTGCGGCTGGTGACAACTCCGATTCCTTCCCATAGGAGTCTCACTCTCGTCCTCTCTCAAAAAGAACACAAGTGTGGACACAAAATTTTTAATATCAAATCTTCATCCCCTATTATAATAGCTTAAGGTCCTATATATAGGCCACAACATGAGAAAATCCAAAATTACAAAAAATGTCCCTTGGGCCACAACGCTCACATAAACTAACCTAGGGGTAAAACATAAAATATATAAAACAAGAGCTAAAATTCAGTAAATAATTCATAAATGAAAATTTAAATAATAGCTGTTGATTTACGACACCTCCTGTGATAGATGCGCCAAATCTTCGTACCGATGTCCGCATCATTTCTAGTTGGTAGATTTTTGATAATTTTGCTAGAGGGAGAATTTAGAAAAATTCAAATGAATATTGTAAGTTTCAGCAAATTTTCTTTTCTAATTGGAAATTCATAAAGATAAATTAGATTCAAATAATAGATGTATATTATATGGATGGAAAGCTCATTGTGAAAAAAAAAATCTTAATTGTTTAAATATGATTATCTATCTTTGCATTCAACTAGATAAATAAATTTTAAAGTTCAACTGTTTCCATGAATAAGTCTATGAATATTTTGTTGTAGTTTTTATGCTTAATAATATTATTCTTATGAATTTATAGATCAACAAACAAAAAATTTAAAAGTAAATCTATATTAGTTTTGGTTAATTGGCATAGGAATTATATTAGGCTTCATATTATCAGATTATTCATATGAGTTCTGACTCTTATTTAGTGTCACAACCCTTCATTTCCATGTTACAACACCGGAGAGAGCATAGCCTTGGGCTAGTTCTCTGTTTAAAATTGCGCAATTAGAGGCGCGCCTTTGCGCAATTCCTCTAAAAAACGCCTCATAACCTACGCAATTCCAAGTCTTTAAGAGGCGTACGCCTCACTGGAACTGAGGCGCGCCTCAGAGGCGCAATTGCGCAATTCCTGGTGAGGCGTACGCCTCTATCTAAGTTGGTGGGTATTGCGCCATCTCCTTCCTCTCCAAGGAAGCTCTCTCCACTAGAACACACAAGTTCTCACAATGCTCCAAGCAAGCAAGAAAACAAAATTCTCAAAAATCATTCATTCGTTCATTCATTAGCCATAATAGAATAAAATGGGGCTTTAAATAGCCTCCTACAACATGTCTCGAAACAAAAGACACAAACGCCCTTTGGGCTCACATACGATAACTCCCATAAGAGGGGTACAACGGGAAAGAAAACACATAAGCAACTAAATAAAATAAAATAAAAATACAACGACTCATAAATGCCACATAAGCAAATAACAAGCTACATGAAAATAAAATACATCAACGACTCAAAAATATAAAGACTCGATCGTGGCCGTAGATCGACGGCCGCGTCTCTGATAAACTCTCCATGATGATCTGATGTCCCCATAAACTTTGGGACATGATTTTATTGCATCTACTTTCTTATTTTCCACTATTTTCATATATCATTTAGATGTTTTTATTGTAAGGTACAATATTGCTATTATTTTCCTGCTAAAAACCTTAATTTTTTATTTACGCAATTCTGTGTTCGTGAGGCTTACGCCTCGAGGCTTACGCCTCGCCTCACGGACAAAAACCGCCTCGAGGCTTAGTTACGCAATTTTAAACCTTGGGCTAGTTGACCCGATCTATAGTCCTGAGAAGGGGTCACCAACAAGTCATCACACTTGCTAAAAACTCCTTTGTGTCATCAAAAGTTTTAGGAATGACCCATCGAAAAAGATTTCTAAAGTTGTTATGTAATGCATAAAACATATGACATGTCAAATGTGTAATATCTTCATACTGTAGTTTGACTATGGATTTAAAAGTGCTCATGAGCTTGAGGTTTGATCCCTTCATTCAAATCTAGGGACTGAATGTTGAGCAACATGGACTGAATTTTTCAGAAGTTGACTGATTTGCTTCCCAAAAATTTTCTTATACGAAAATTGACCTATCTAGAATTTGTTGAAGCTATTTGCAGCAGCAGCAACCTGTGAAGAACTCAAACAAAGGAAAACAGAGAATTGATAAAGCTTGAAAGGAGAGGTAAGCTGTTACTGTTCATCTTCATTACCACCGAAGACTAACAAGGCGAATGTATATAGAGAAATTAGTTAAGAACTAACGATGCTGATGTATACAACAGATATCAAACGGTGTAAAAGAAAACAGTTACAGAAATATTGCAAAAGTAATGGAGCAGCTAACCGAATAGCTGAGTGATAGCAAGTACTTGTAGATCTCAAGTATTTCCTATCAATCTTCGGAAAACAACGAGCTTCTACACAAAAATCCTCAAAAAAACATGAAAACAGTAGATAATTTGTATTATTTGATGAAAGGGAAACGGAAAATAGCAAGATACAATTGATCATCTGTTCGAGAGGAGGATCGATCTCTCCCAAATCTCTAGACGTCGTAGAGCCCAAAAGAAAACCTAAATATAAGAAATCTCAAATTTCAGCCAAATTCAAGATGTCCTAACCCTAGGAAAACAAAGTATTTAATTCATACAAATCAAAAGGAAATCCCTAAACAGTCCCTACATTCAAATTTCCCTCCCAAATCCCTGAAAAATCCTTCCTAATCTGCTCTATGGCATCCCGCGGTTCTGTCGGCAGCACATAGAGGTAGAAAAACTTCCGCCTCTGTTTCCGCGGATGAGTCCCGTGTGGACAGGTCCAATGAGTTGAAATGCATGACCTGAATCCAACCCATTATTAAATGGGTCAAACCCAATCCGGATTTTTCATGTCGGATTGGCGAGTTGAGACATTTTTTGACACCCCTAATTTATTATGCTGATTGTATGGAGTTTTCGATTATAAACATTGCGATTATGCATCATTAAGAACTTGCTATTGTACTTTTGCCTTATTCACTAGAGATTATCAATCATTTAATCTGGTTTCATTTCTGCAGTGATTCAGTAGAAGTTTTGGATTGCACCATCATTTTTATGGGGATTTTACTGATATACACCACTACAAACTTTCATATTTGCTAGCATATCATCCAATTTCTTACTACTGGTATGTTGCTCTCTCCTTTTTATTCTTACAAATGTGCCACCCTACTTTGTTGATGTAAGCCTTACAGATTATTTTCCATAGACTGCTTTTAGAAATAATAATTTTTATGTGAAAATTATAACGTCTTTTCCTCCCACTTTTGATCAAAAGATAAATCAGTCTTAATGGATAAAATTAGAGTTATTTTTACTGGAAGCATACTCAAAACTAATCACAAAATTGAAATATTAAAAATTAATTATGCAAAGCTAATCTTGTAAAACATTAGTAAATTAATAATAGATGTAATGTTAATAAAAAGAGCAAGCCTTAGCATGCATAAATATTTTCTTATGATTAATTCTGACGCCACTTCTAACTCATATTTATTTGAAATTATTTTAACAGTTAATTAGAAAGAGTTGGATGTGTAGTGTGGTATATCAGCAATTATAAAAAGATTGGTGTCATTGCAGCCAGTAAAAATCCTCACTTATATTCTAAGGGCCCATTTAATTGCTTGAATTTTTCTAAAAATGATTAATTATTTAGATTCTATCATTTGATTGATTGCAGTTCTAAATTTATATAATTTTTAGTTCACAAGCCCTTTATATTGTTGAATTTTGTTAGAAACTGCTGAGCCCCAAAATTATTGTTTAAAATAACTTTCTTTCGTTTGGAATGATTTTTTTACTGCTTCTTAAAATAAATTTTGTTAGAAATTTGTTCCAAACACAACTTTAAACTCTTTGATTTTTCAGAAATTACTGTCCTGAACACTGATCCTTTAGTTAGCGTTACAGATTTGCAGGAACCAACTGTTTCAAACTATCTGAATGGACTCGCAATTGGGCATTCTTGCCGAGATTTCTCGTATTCTGTTCTGAAGACTGAAGTTTCTGAAATTCTAACACTTAACAGTACTCGTTATGATCATACAGAACTGACGGATCATTTTTTGTTTTTACTAATCATTTTCAAGTAGTGTATAATTTGATTTTGGGAGCACCAATATCTGCAATTATTTTGCAGAAAGCGATTTCTTTCATAGATCTGTCCTAATCTAAATGGCATTAACTTTTATTTCTAATTACAATATTTGCTGATTTTGTTATGTTATGATATAATTTTCTTAATATTTTTTTTAATAATTTTTTTTTATAATTTTTTTTAAGTTATAAATTTTTGTATTAAAATTTTATTTTAAGAAAGCTGTCACAAATAAAGCCTATCTAGTGGTTCAAAATATTATAATCAAATTGTTAATCGAAATGAATTTAAAGTTGGATTTATTTTAAAATGAGTGTGATATAAAATTCTGATGGTTTTTCTTGCATGCTTTATCTATTTTAAAAAATTAGTATAAATTCTCTTTTATATCAAGCATTAAGTAAAATTTTATAAAATGGCATAGCAGGTAAAAGAAATAAAACAATCATCATAAATGACTAAATCATCGTAACGGTTGTACATTTTATTCTTTATTTTTGAAAGAGAAAAGCTAAATGGTGGAGGCTAAATAGTGTGTAAAAAGTTGATACACAGTATAAATTTATATACAATGTGTGCACTCATATATTCGGACAATTCTTCCCGTTCGGATTCTGTACGGAATAATTTTTTTTTTTCATCAAGAGGCAAATGGTGGAGGCTAAAAAGAGATATTCTTCGTAAGAATATTCATTGCAACTCACTAATGACATCTTTAAATACAATTAAAGAGACATAAAATGTAAATAATATGTCATGAAGACATTTACTTATTTCATCTCCTAAATTCTCTCTCTTTAAACAATCTTTATTTTATCTTTTTAAACTAATATTTTTCGTGTTTGATAGGTACCTAAAAAAAATATACATTCTACAATTTGATTTTGCCCACCCTAAAAAAGAATGATCATGCACTCCTAAGGCATTGCTCTAAAACATGAGAAAAATCTCTTCTATCTACTAGCAAAAATTTGGTAGAACAACTTAGTAAATCATACTATTTATAGGAGCTTGATCCAACAAATACATATTGAAATTAAATCCTCACGAAATTTTCAATAACCACCCCAATTTTTTTATTTTGGCAGCCTCACAACTACACCGTTCAATATATAATGGAATATAATAGAATAAATCATACGTGGAATTTTCCATTCGTATCATCTTTAACGTTAACAAATTTAGTTACATGGTGTCTTGGAGAGATGGCTGCAAGGATTATAACTGCAGCAAGAAGGGCAAGGGCAATGCCAAGGCAATTGATTAGTGCAGACTCTGGAGAATTATGGGAGAGGCCTCGGCGGCCGAGCAAAAAGGTTAGCTTCTCCTGAAGGCCGGTCTCGGCGGCCGCCACCGCCAGCCCGAAGGTATAGAGACCCACAAAGAGATGCCATGGAAGTGCCGCCGACCGAGTCCACCGGCCCTCGGGCTTGTGCCACATGCTGATGAGCCCTACCACCCACTGCAATTTGAGTAGATTGCATAGAATTAGTACAGGAATTTTGATTTTTAGTAGTGATTGAAATTTGTAATAACTAAAAAAGATGGAGGAAAGTATCATCCATTGTTGTATACTCGTCATTTGTATCACTTCGAATAAATTAATAGTCTATCTGAATGGGTAGGTGATCATTTACTGTTAGTATATTTTATTCCTTGGTATTATTACTACTGGAAAGAGAGAGGGCGTGAGTTGCTTTGATGCATAAACTGGGCAACAAAAAAAAAAAAACAGAAATATCATCGTATTCAGTCGGTCGTTCGGTCCATTCGAATTCTAAATCTCACGTCAAAATTCGACAGGTAAGCAGTGTGGTGTCAGACTGTTCATCTACGACAAAAAATTAGGCTACGGAATTTGCCGAAGAAGCGCACGAAAGAGGAGAAAATGGTCACCTTCGTTAGAAGCATGCAAAAGAAAAGAAAAAATGCCTTTTGATTGGAGATTAATTAGTGAATTACTGCATTTTAAAATTTTGCTGCATTTTGAAGTGAAAAATGAGTTTTTTGGTTGGAGATGCCCTAAGAAATTATGAGGTACGGTGATGAGGAATGAGTTTGGGCTGTTTCGGTTTTTATTGAAAACAAAAAAACAAAAACAAAAACAAAAAAAGCAGAAAGAATGGGAGAGAATAAGATAGAGGAAATTGGGACAGAAATAAAAAAAAAAATTAAAAACAGAGGAGAAAGGGTGAGAGAAAAGGAAAGAGAGGAAAATCACATGGCCCTCTTGTTTTCGGATTTGGTGAACTGTGTCGCCGTTTAATGTGAATGGGAAATACAACTCGAGATCTTCAAGTCTCTTAATCGGATGTTTGGTCATTTATTATTCCATCATACTCTAAGGAACTGTATAAGAAAAATTAATGAACTCTTCTATATTGTTTTGGAATCTACTATTTAGATTTTCTGTAGTTCTTTTGGTCCTCACTTCTGCTCACACACCTATTTTCCAAACACCACTGTACTCCGAAGAGAGGAAAAATATTTAAAAGATTAATATAAAGGAACCAGCAGTCACATTCCAAGGATGAACTAATGAATACTTCTGTAAGTTTGTTCTGTAAATGAGGTGACTTAACCAGCTACTAAGGTTTTATTTGGGACGACTTTTTTATTGCTTCTTAAAGAAGATTTTTAGTATAAAAATTTTAGTACTAAAAAGTAAAAAGTTGTTTTAAGAAGCACTAAGAAAGATGACACAAAAGAAACCTGAGCTCAGTTCAAAACCCACTTCCTGAATTATATTTTTTAATGAAAGAAGCAAAGTTTGATTGAGAATTTTGACTATCAACTAAGAGAACTTAGATTCCAAGCTTAGTTTGCTCAAAAGTCGCAAAAAATTTTTTCTAACGGAACTATTGTTTCATGATAGCTCCATGCTTACTTTTTTTAATGAACATCCTGAAAATCGATCTATGGTTTATAATTTAATAATACATTAAATAATTAACTAAAGGGCCCAGAAAAGAAGCATTGCCTTACTGTATCTTATCCTTGATCAATCAATTAAATTAATAGTCGTGACAATGATGTCCGAACTTGTATTGTCGTCACGCAAAAGTAAAAAACAAATCGAAGCTCCATTATAATAAGAGACATAAACCAGTTCACTGGGATAAAACTCTTTTTATTTTCTCTTGGAAACAGTAGCCTCATGATACTAATCTAAAGTTTAAAGTTTTGCCAGATAATCAACGGTCTACTAAAAAAGAAAAGATCTTTCTCAAAAAAACTTCAGATTTATTTTTACAAATAACTACAGCCGCCCGCAGCCATTATCGAACTGCTGAGCTTCCATTTCCTTTTTTATTATTAATTTTGCTGCAGCGGAATATTTAACGTGATTTTCATATATCAAGTTTTAATCGACATGCAACAATCAAATAGATGATCAACGGCGGTGATCTAGTGAGAGAATAAATCTGTGTGATGAAGTGAAAGGAAGGAGAGGGCGAGATCGGACCTGGAAGGCGAAAAGGGCGACGCAGGCGAGGCCAATCCAGGAGTGGAGGCTATAGAAGTTGGCGGAAATTCCTTCGTTACCCCTGAACTTCGCCCAAATACCGAAGAGCCCGAAGCCCAGCGCGGCCGCTTGGAGCGAGAGGTGCACCGCCTTCCGAGTCTCCCGAGACCACCCCGCAAGCCTCCGGTGCACCAGGATCGCTGCCAGACAATCACCACCCAGTGAGCTTTAGCAAGATGACCGCGTCACTATTAGCAAATTTAAGAAAATTATAAATATACCCTTGGGAAGCACTGTCGTTTCCAAACAAAGTAATTTTGGAAAGGCCAACGAGAGCTCAAAATCACTGGGCTTATTATTGCGTCCGGTCACCAGATGTCCGGATATTCAATCCGGCGACGCCACATCACTCAAATACATTGGATCCCGATGCATTTTAGTGACGTGGCGACACCGGATTGGTGTCCGGACGAATCCAGACACCGGACGCAATAATTTGCCCAAACACTGAGCCACCCCATAAATAAAGTAATTTTAACAAATAATAATATTCATAAATTTCTTTATGATAATAAATAACGAGATAAATTTGATAATAAAGAACTTTAAACTTTTCAGTAACAATTTTTAAAAGCTTCACAAATTAAAAAAAAAAATGTGGGACCCTGATCCCATGAGAGATTATTTTGAGCGGTATCTGAATGCGTCTGGAGGCTAATCACGTCATCTAATACACTGTGAATTAGGTGATGTGGCACATCCCGATTGGCCTTCGAATGTGTCCGAACACCACACGTAATTATTTTTCCACTCCCAGAGCGAACCGGCTTTTTTTTTGTAACTAAAAATAAATAAATAAATAAATTTAAGCACATATGATAGGGACATAAAATAAATTTAAGAAAATTATTTCAAAAATCTAATTAATTTAGTTAAAGGCAGAGAGGTATAAGTGAGTCAAGCTAACTAGTGAGTCTGCTCTAACTCGACTCGATAAATAGCTCATGAGTTGAAATCAAGCCAATTCTCGAGCCCGGCTCGACACGCTTACACTCCTAATCAAAGCAACCACATTACATATTATAATTAATGAAAGCTATTAAAATCCTAATTGCAGAAATAAGTAAGAAAAAAAATGGATCATTGCAGATTTGCACCGTTAAATATTTTTTTTTTCAAGAAAAAAAAAACAAATAAATGAATGCTTGCCGACTATCCTGCCTTAATAAGAATTGGAACTCAAACAACAGCCTAAAAAGAAAATATTTTACCATAATTGGAAAATGGAGTTTATCTGACAAATGCCGAATTAAATTTTGGCAGAATAGGTTAATAGATGTAAAATTCACAGAAGAAATGAAATCGGATCGGCTAAATGCTGGATAGGTTACCTTCCCCGTTAAGGAGGATGAAGCCGATGACCATTAGAAGCGGATGAAGCGCCTGCGGTGGAAAATAAATTTAGAATAAGAACAAATAATGCAAAGAAGATCGTGGCATTCCGATAAGAGATGAAGTGAAATCTGGGCAGGGAAGATAGAGAATAGAGATATTTACTGAATATATGTGGTCGAGCTGGGAAATGGCGTCTCCGTCACCTTCGCCGTCGCCGCCCAAGGAGGCGGAGTGCGGTAGGTCGACTTTTGAGCTCGACTCTAGTTCGAGCTCGAGCTCGGCATTTCTCAGACGAGCTCGGCTCGAACAACCGTTGACTCGAGCTCGACTCGACTCGTTTGCACCCCTAGTATAGGGTACTTGTTGACATCAAGCCAAATGAATGAGAGTAAGTTGGGCAACCCGAAAAGCATTGAAGAAATTTTGTGAGAGATAGGCTAAAGAAAAGTACCTAATGCTCCATGCTCCAGTTAAGGCAAACTCACATGCACATCTCATATGTAAGATTCGAACCCAATATCTCTTACTTGATAGTAAAAGCTCCCAAACAACAGACCAAGATGAGATGTGTATCATGCTCTTGTTGAAACTATCAAATTATTCATGATATAAGACTTTTATCTATAATAAATTTAAACCTAATGTATAAAAGCGTAATATATGATGAAATTTGAAAATAAAAATAAAAATTCATCCTTTTTATCAAAATCAAATAAACCGATTCCAAAATAATATATTGAATCGCATCTTCATTTGATTTGATGACTTCATTTATCTTGCTCATAATCCATATGTTCATGGATTCACTTGACATTGTTAAAATCATTCAAAAAATGATTGTTTTACATATAAGTTTTAAAATGAATTCATTTCACGCACTCTATTCTTATTTTGAGCAATTTGAGATTCAAAAATTTGATAAAAAAAGTATACTTGATAGATGATATTTTTATAATCTCATCATAAATACAAATATACTTATATATTTTTATATAATTCTTTTTTAGTGTTGCATGCCATCAGTAAAAATCATAAAATAAATAATAAAAGAATAAGACAACACATAGTTGATATTCTATGATACTCAATATAATGAAAACCATCGATTATTAAAAAATATTGATTCATTTGATAGCTATTGACTATGTATATTCATATTCTCGGCTCATATTAGCTAATGATGAATATAACAAATATGAATAAGCTTTTACTTAGCTCTTTGTTGGATGTGCCATTCATGTGCTGATATATATTATTTGTGGAAATTGATTGTGTTAATCAATCGGGTTGTTATGTTGCTTGGAACCTCAAGTTTCTTGTGCTCGCTAGAGAGTGTGTGAGTTTTAGCCGTTGTTTGGGTTCGGGGGCTTTGCACCTGAAATTTTTTTTCTTACATTATCTTGGTTCTGTGTATCCGAGCGCCCCAGTGTTGAATGACAGTGAGCAGAGCGATTTGTTAATTTTCTCTTATAAAAACCATTTATAGCATGATACTAGATTGCCAATTCCATTTTCAATATTGTATCAAATTCATCTAGAGGAAAAATAATAATGTTGCAAGCATATGCATATTGTTTATTATAATGTCACAATCATGAATACGTTGAGTGTCTATCATAGATGCTCTAGATGGCATATTAATTGATAAGTGAGATACTGATATGGCTTCTTGGGCACTAATGAGGGTGCCAGTTGAGTTGGTTGTGGTACTTGGTGGGTGGCAGCTAGTTGTGAGGGTGCTAGTTGAGTTGGTTGTGGTACTTGGTGGGTGTCATGATTAATTCTTTGCACTACTTGAGTAAACACCTCTATCATCATCATGATTAAAACAGTGGTATCTAACTTTGGAGCAACAACACATCAACGACCTTGAGAGCGAGGTCCTCTAGGAATAGGTAGGGCTTCCTCAACAGTTCTCATAGTATCAATCCCACAAGCTCAGAAAACATTTTTTTTTCTTGGTGTCATTCTGAATTATTAAACATATCAAAATAACTATTATACCAAACATATGATTTAACATCAACTATAACTTAAGATATTATAACCCACTATCCCATCTTAAGGAACCAAGGAATATTAAATACAAAACAGGATGGCTCTGATACCACTTGTAACATTCAAAACTCTTAACTATCGAGATTTTGTCTTATTTGGCCTAAGAGCCTCACTATTTTATTATGTTGAAATAACTTCCCAGTAGGTCATCCATCCTAGAATTGCTCTAAGATGAGCATACTTAACTATGAAAATTGTTAATGAAATTACAACCATTATATCAAAAGGTGCATTGATGTTTAAGAGTTTAGCTTCTTTTACTTAAGGGTTTCACAATCTCCCTCACTCAAGTAGATAACGTCTTCATCATCGTCTTTATCTCATAATCATCCACCAGCAAATAGGATTCTAGAGGTCGCCCCTATATATTTAGTTGATGGCTCCCATTATGTAGCACTTTGTCCTATGCAGGATTTAGGTTGCTCCCATGACATAACACCTTATCTTGTATATGGCACTTAGTTCCCATCTTCTGAATGTTGCATTATTTTGATACCATTCTATAACAACTCAAGCTCTTAATTATCAAGATATTGTCCGTTTTGACTTAAGAGCCTCACGACTTTGTCCTGTTGGTGTAACTTCTCAATAAATTTAAACAAAAAATTCGATAAAAGCTTTGTATTTTTGAAAACTGAGATATGCACAGTATAATTTATCTTAAGACGAACAAATTTCTCAACTGGGCGAACTGATTAAAATGGCTCTCCGACCTCCAAAACTAAGCTTTACTTTTCTCTCCCCTCTCCTTTTCTCTCTCTCTCTCTCTCTCTCTCTCTTTTTCCCTATCCTTTTCTCTCATTTTTTCTTTTTTCTTCCCCGTTTCTCTTTTAACTAAATATCACATATCATTTAAAAATTTGTTACGTGACTTAAGAGTTAAGATTTTTATAATAAAATATTAGGTAATTATTTTAATTATTTAATTTTTAGCATAAATTTATATAAATCTATTTATATCTTTAAATCCAGAAATCTAAAAATTATATAAAAATATTTATAAATTTGCTAAGTATGTTAAAAAAACTCTAGTAAAATTGGTTTTCAAAATGGACATCTAATTCTCCTAAAAACCCTACTTTATACTAACAAATGCAATTTTCTTAAGAAATTGCTCCAAAGCTTAAAAAATAGAAAAAAAAAATATTTGTGAAATAAAAAGAACAATAATATCTATGTTATGCTGAATATATTTTGTAATTTAGAGTCATCTAATTTCATCTATTAGTAATAAACAATAGAAATAAATTTTATAATTCAAAATATTAGTACATATCTATATTCATTGATCCAAAAATAAATCATATACAACATTCATGAATCTTATAATCACAACATATTTTTCATTCATGAGTACAAAATAATGAGTAAAACAAAAAAGAACAGAGCTTAAGGAATCTTGATCGGCCTCACACTTTCAAACATCTTTCTTAATTTAAAATCATTTAAATCATATATAATGAGCTAAGAAGTCCAACAAGTCATCTAATCCTACAACTGAATCAAAACATGATAAAAAAGCAATATGATTGCATTAGTCAATTCATAGAAGTATCAATTATATGATCATAATGTATAAATAATAAAATGCATATGCAGTAGCTAGTAAAGTCTGTAGCTAGTAAAAATGTATAGTACGGAAGTAAATAAAATAGTACAATAACCGCAAACCAACATAGGTGTCAAATCGATAAAATTGTCATTGTATCAATATTATTAATCAATAAAGCAATAAAACCAAAGCATCATTAATAACTACCAAACTCAGATCAATGTAGTAAAATCGTATAACTATGTACACATATTATCAAGTTATTCAATTTCAATATCTTAATTATACATACTCAATATATCATGTGCTCAATAAGTCATATGATCAGTATCAGTACATAAAATCAGTACTAGTATCAAACAATATCGATGTCCGTATCAGTAATAGTAAAATTAGTGGTATGAGCAGTAAAATAATACAGTAATAATAAATCTGAACAAGAATAAGAACGATGCCTCAATAACATGAATTTTAGTGGTCACACTAAACAAATAAAAAATCCTTACTTAATTGGTGTTTTTCTAATATTGTATAAGTATCAATAAATCGTTGGCTCAGTAAATAAAGTCATCACTCTTTTCTCGTCAATATAATAATCATCTCCTTATAACATATAATCAGTAAATCACATGAATTAGTAGAAAATAACATCAAACCACAATATTTAAAGGAAAGTCCGTCGGCCCATCATCTTGTACAAGCTAGTCAATCTCTAGCCAACAATAGTGAATAATCAGTCTTTACTTATTTTTCTCACATAAATATTATTAGCATATTACTATAATAATAATAACAATCATTTATTACTCAACAACATATCCTTATTCAATTTCAATGGTTGTATAATTTAATATGAAAAAAAAAAATGATGTGAGAGATGATATAATTTCCTCCGCATTCTCTTATTTTTCTTGCAATATTCAATATAGTATTATTGGAAATAAAATATTAAACTTAAAATAGCTTAAAATTTATGTTCTATCAATATTTAATGGTGCATCATTATTCTACTTAAAATGATATAAGATAGGATTTGAACTTAGCAATATTATTTTAAGTCCAAAGCTGCTTCAATCTTCCTGATTAAATTCTTTAAAATATTATTTTGATTACCAATTGAATAATTCACTTGAGACCTAAAAAAAGGCTTATTATTTAAATTTGATGTTAATAATTTGTATAATATTAAATTTCTTATTAAAATAATGTAATACAATTTTTTAATTAATTTAATACCAAAACAAATTTAATAACCATGAATTTTATCCTAATTCTCCTTGAAATTGAATATATTTGTTATCGCCCTCACCCCGCCTGACTATTTTCTTTGATTTCCGCCCTTCGCTGCTAGGGTTTTAGGTAGGGCTTTACCTCAGAGCCCTGGAACGAACTTGGGAATCTCGGAGCATGGCCTTTACCTCCATCTATCGTAATCTACTTCGCAGGTCTATCATTCCACGCCCTCTATTCCCCTCTTCCAGATTTTTCAACACCCCTCTCGCCGGCAGTGAATCCGATCACGAAGGAGATGAGCCCTTCGACACCTCCACCGCGGCATCCTCCGGCGGGCCGACCACCGAGGAGCGGAGAGCCCCTCTATTTCGCCCTCTTGAAAACGGTCTCGATCCCGGCGTTTACAAGGTAAATTAATAAGAAAAAAGAAAAGCTATGGTTTATCTTTTCCCGTTCGTTCTCATTGGGGGCTGTTGTGACGCGATTGATAGGCGATATTGGTTGGAAAAGTGGGCCAGAAGCCGGTAGAAAAGCAGCTGAAGAGCAGCAGAGTGGTGGTTTTGTTTTCAGTGGCTACGGGCGGGATCAGGAACAACCGACGGCCGCTTGAGGACGAGGAGCCGAGGCAATATGCTGAGCGTTGTGCTGTTCAATGGCACCGTGTATGCATATACCCGGAGCGGCTTGGAAGAATAGCGCTCAACCATGTAAAGCCAGGGTGAGCCAAGTCTTAAGAGCTATTCCTTTATTTGGTTTAATTGCTTTTTCTTACATCGAAGAGATTTTGGGTGCAGAGTTGTGTGCATCAAATGAACACGAATACAAGTATAAACTTGATAAAGCAATGCATCATGCACAACTGTTTTTTCAGTCTGAGCAAAAAATTTTATGCTGAGAGGAGTTTTGCAATATTTTTCACTGAAAAAGGCATCCGTGGTTTCAATTCCCATATCTTAAATTTTTCCTGGAAATTACCATAGATTTATGTAGGCGTATCAGTGACTTAGATCTTCAATCTTTTGTCTATTCAGTTCTGATCTTAATTAGATTTTTTTTCCCATCAAATACACAGATGTCTTCTTATGGTGCTTATTATTACTTTGTTTATTGATCATATTCATTTCCAGTATGCACTGTTGTATAAACAGTAATTTTTATGATAATTGATATGACTAATTAATAAGGAATACAATGTTGTGATGAAAAATGAGGTCTAGAAGTTTGATGACTTGAAAAATTCTAAGATCTAGAGCAGTAAGATTCAAGATATGCTAATCTAATAGGTTCTTATGAAAGAACTCATGATACATTCAAATATGATTAAGATTGTGAATGAATTAGAGGAGAAGATGGATGAAAACTCTCATGGAAATTCAATAATGTTTAGCGGATGAGTTCTTGGTAGAGGTATTGGAGGAAACAACTACATAGGGGTTGCAATCCAAGTTGGATTCTTTGTTCATCATTAGAAACATTTCTGACAAACTTTATTAATAGCAAAGATCATGCTTGCTATGCATGCAAGAAGGTATTTCCTTTAAATGACATAATAAAAATTTCAAATTCATTATTAATAATTTGAGGAATATAAATGTGATGGTTAGTAATGCATATGAAGCTTTTTTTTTTTTTTTTCATTTGTCATTTTTAATTCTATCTTATAAGTATTGTGATGGCACAATATTGCATGAAATAGTTATAATTATTCGAGGATGTTAAGAATTAACTTATTTTTAAAGTTATGTTGAGGCTCAATCCTATAAGGGTTAAAAAGCATGTTAAGGGATTTTTGTTTGTGGAGTCTTTTTGAGGAGTTTTTCTCTTTATAACTTGAATCATTCTCATTGCAGATATAACCAATTTACTATGTGTTTTGCTTTTATAGTTTTATTGCACAAAGAAAAAGGTACATCAAGAAAGAGTGTCAAGCTTTGCAAAAGGAACAACATGCGAATGACAATAATAGGGAGGACAAATACATTTTCTGTACATTTGTAGATTGGTTAGGAATAGATTAAGAGGTATTCTTTTTGTGACAACATGAGTAAGATGTAGATATTAATGGAGTTTATAATCTAAAAGTTCAAATCATATATGTCATTATAAGGATTTATTTTTCGATTTGGTTATGCTGATATGTAAAGCAATTTGTTAGCAAGATAGTTGATCTTAACATTATGAAGTTGAAGATGCATGATGATGTGATTAAGATATTGACTAAAGTTCGAAGAATCTTGTATCTTTGTGTGGTCTTAGTGAACCAATATTTACATTCTTAGGAGATATTGAAGTTTTTAAAGTCTCTAAGGGTGCTTTGGTTGTCATGAAAACAAAGAGAGTTAGGGAACTTTATTTATTGCTCGGTGCAACTTTGAATGGAGGTGCTGGAGTTTCATCATCACGTGTGTTGGAGTACTGTGAGTTTTATAAGTAGAAAAAGGTTAGTTCATAGCTACAATTCAAGTTCCACAACAAAGTAGGTCACATCTTGAGGGGAAGACCATTGGAGTTTATAGGTTGAATCAATATCATATTGACAGTTAGTACTAGTTCAAAATCATATCATTGTCCTATTCAAAGTAACTAGACTATTAGTCGAAGTGTATGAAGATTTAGTGGGAGGTGCAATTTCAGTATTAGTTGATTCATTTTGTTGAATGTGCGTCAGAGGAATCTTGTAGGTGTTAAGTTTAGGCATCATTTGGGCTTTTTGTGGTTGCATTGTGCTCAACCCTTTGGGGCTTCAAGAGCTTGGAAAGTAGATGAGATCAAAATATATTGCCACAATATTGAGCCAAATGGGTTAATTTTTTTGGATATTGCTTCAATAATGTTTTTGAGAAATTATAATGAATGATGCTGGGGTAAATGAAAATTAATCTTTGTTCTTGGGTAAAAAAATAGATTCAAAGTTTTTATTACAAAATTTGTTATTTTGGATTAACTACAATTCAAAAATTGTTTCATTTTTTTTTTAATTTGAATATGCACCCCGTTTAACTCTTATAGGTTGAATATTGAATATAGGAGTTGAGCTATTTCTTATGCAAATTCCTTCTCTAATTTGAAAAGTCACGGGGTAAGTGTTATTGAAGATTTAATTAGATTGTGAGAAAGATAAGAAGAGATGTAAGGTGAGGAATAGAGGAATTTAGAAGAGAGAGAGAGAGAGAGAAGCTGAAGAAAAATATGATTGTGTTATCGTTCTGGTGACTATCATGAATTATTTTGATGCTGTGAAAGCAAAATAATGCTAGACAAAGAGTGTAAAATCAGCTACACAACTTAACGAAGGAAAGTGAATTGATGGGTTGGAAATGCAAGATTCTAGAGATTGCAGCTATTTTCCGATTCATTATGAATAAAATCATGAATAATTCACATTAATATCAAATTTCATTGCACATACTCTGATGTATAGTCATTGCTTTGATTACATTGATTTTTATGTATGTATAGATCCTTACTTGAGCGTAAAAGGTAGCAAGGTTATGAAATGTTTATACCATTGTTGATTCAAGTCAAGGAATGGAAGAATTAATTCGTCCATGTTTTTCTCTGTTTTCAGTAAGTCAGTTGCAACAAAATTCTCCTCTTGCAGACTCCCATTTCCTTTTGTTTGTAATCCAATTGTTTTCATGGTATTTAAGTGTAGTCAATGATAATTTTTTTTGAAAATCCAAGCCATGTATTATTGTGCTTTATGCTTTCTCTGGTTTTCTGAAACAATAAGATCACCTAACACAACAGTTTTTCTCAAATGCATTTATATTGAGTGAAGTCTTCTCATTCAAGTTGATCAACGACAAATATACTCTATGGGCTAGTTTCAAAAACCTTTTATTGCTTAACAAAAGATCCTGGGATATATCAAGTCTACTCCCTCCGGAGAAGTTGTGACTCATTCGATTAAAGTCAAGTTTTCCAAAGAGTCATATGCGAGTTTGAATGAGATTTATTCAAGATTATGTAATACCAATGGCATGCAATTACCAGGTGAACTTGGCGACTTGATCAAGGACAAAAGCATGTGATAGAATATTGCAACGATATCAATACTTTATGCTATGAGTGAGACTTATTGGTGATCTTTTTTATGACAATGACAAGTTGATGCGTTCTCTTAATGGCTTATAAGATTTTTTTTTTTCTGTTAGAATTCAAGTTGGATGGTTGAAGCGGAGGAATGTATCAGGCTTGTTGTGTGATAGAAAAATACCCCATCAAACGTAAGGGAAAATTCTATAAGATGGTGGTGAGACCTACAATGCTTTATGGTGCCGAATGTTGGCCATTAAAAGAGAAGCATAATACTAAGTGTTGTAGAGATGAGGATGCTCAGGTGGATGAGTGGCTTTACCTTTAGAGATATGATACGAAGTGAGCGTATACGTGAAAAGTTTGGAGTAGCTCCAGTGGAAGATAAGATTAGAGAGAGTCGCCTTAGATGGTTTGGTCACATAAAATGGCGACCTTCCGATGACATGGTTAGGAAAGTAGAGGTATTAGATTTGACTTATGTTAAGAAAAGGTAGAGGTAGACATAAAAAGACTTGGTTAGAAAATATTAGAAATGATATTTTTTTATTAGATTTAAACAAGAATTTGACTTTTAACAGAACAATGGAGAAAAAGGATTCATGTAGCCGATCCCACATAGTGGGACAAATGCTTGATGTTGTTGTTGTTTTTTTTATGTTACTAGTAGATCTCTTAATGTTTTTTTTCCAAACTTTGAAGAGGTTAATTAGTACCTAATGTAACATGAAAGCTTTATTCTAATAAAACCCTTCACAAGTTATTTTAGGTACCACCTTACATGAAGTAGTAGTAATCAAATTCTCCAAGGATGAAAATGAAATTTTATTGTCTATATATATGAAAACCAAGAAACACGAATAAGCCAATTTAGTGGTAAATATGTTTATATTTGATAAAAGAATGCTAGCATATGAGAAGATGGACTTATGAGAATGAAGCCTAAAGAAACAAAAGAGATAAAGTAAATGCATTTACCATTAGGATGCATGAAATGACATTCACTCCTAATCAAGACTTCATTTGGTCCTTAAAATTGACCTTGGTAATCACCTGGTCAATGATCCAAGCAGATTTTCAATTTATGCTATTAGATGAAAAATGTTACAAAAATCGTAGATGGAATCACACATCACGTTACTCATATCAGAGAATTTATTTTACATTCTCAAAAGAAGTTTAAGATTAAAGCTCAGCTATCTCGCTCCTAATTCCAAATGCCCCTTTATATAAATATCTTTAAGTAACTAACAATGACAATTATGAATGCATATTCAGCTCTTTTGGTGTGATGTTAAAGGACAAACACATGAAGGCCTCAATTGTTGAAAGGATTAAGAAAGGAAGGTTATATGCCATTAAATAAAACTTGATCAATTAATCCTATCTTATTAATAATTTGCTTATCCTTCTTATTCATGCATATTGTATTTCTCTATGTTTGTTATTCAATTGCTCTTCAAGCATAATAAAACTAATATCGTATGTATTTCTCTCTTATCCCATTAACTTAGGCAATTATTTCGACTCAACCGGTTAAATCTTGCAGTTTAGTCTCTTTGTTATAATTTTATGCCTTCATTGTACTAGTTTTTGATAGGTGCTTCTGATTTCTGAATGAGGAGGCTGTTTTTTTTTTTTTTTTTCTAATATTTTGAGGAGCATCTTATTACCAGGTATTCTAGATAAACGGATGATGTTTTAGAAGGTTCTACTTAGCATAACAAGTATGATTTGTTGTCTATTTGTTCTGTTTGCCGGGAATTTGAGCTAGACCTTATAAATGCTATATTTTTCCTAAAATGATCGAAAACCAAGTTTGCCTTAATTTTTGCAAGTACTTTTTTAAACGCTATGCGGTTGGATATTCTGTCATGCCTACCACAGAAGCTTGAAGACTTGAGGCAAAACTTGTTTTTAGTCAGAACTGGTAATTTGATGTTAAGGAAAGTGATTGTAAATTACTTACTTTAAATTGATTTATGCCGTTATAAAAAATTTGCACTTGTTATGTTTTGCATTTATTATATTTGGAGCGTTGGACAAATTTAGTTACTCCTTTGTAGATCGAGCCAACTATCATTGATGCTCCTTTTATTCTCTGTGTTTCTTAATTTATAATCCTACCCGGTTCACAAGGCGATCGATTATGTAATTATCTTGAGCAAATCCTTGCAGCTTAATAAGATCTCAAAATTCCTATTGATGCAAGCACGTATTTTCTTACCCCTTATCTATCAATTGCCATTGGATGATGGCGCCATAAGTCTATTTTTTCAGCTAATTAGATCTGAACTTAAGTTTGGAACTCGTCTCTTTTACATCTTTGATAACAAAATTATATTTTTTAAGTCAATTTTCATGATCTCACATCATTGTATTCTTTCTTTTTAATCATAAAGCTTTATCTAACCATCGATAATTGACAAATATGAATGCATTGTCGCCAAAGGGAGCTTACAATTCCATTCACGAATTTTAATCTTTTTTTTTTTTTGTTCTCTAGAAAACTTTGAACCTTTACTATTTCCCGCATTGTTTATATTTGCGAGATGTATTCTTTCTTTTTAATCATAAAGCTTTATCTAACCATCGATAATTGACAAATATGAATGCATTGTCGCCAAAGGGAGCTTACAATTCCATTCACGAATTTTGATCTTTTTTTTTTTTGGTTCTCTAGAAAACTCTGAACCTTTACTATTTCCCGCATTGTTTATATTTGCGAATACATCCAGGTCTTAAGTAATCATTTCTGTTGGGATTTTTCCTTTAAAAAATCCAGTTTGCAGAGTTTCTTTGACGGGTAAGATAGCATTTCGAGAAAACTTTAGAATGATTTTGAGTAGATAGTTTTAAACATGGCTAGCCAATTCATCTGTTTTTTTTATAACAATTGTATGTGTTTGATATAATGTTTGGTATTATGTGTAGACATCTAGTTATTTTTTTTACATTCTTAAAATTTTCTTTTTTTGATGATCTAATAGCCTACTCCTTAACCTTTATGTTATAGATCACTCCTGTACTTGGAGGGAAATCTGGAGACGAAGGTTTTTAGCGATCCGATTACTGGTCTTGTTAGACGCATAAGAGAAGTTGCTATAAGACACGGTGGTATGTTTTTTGCATTCCGCTTCCAAACAATGTCAACAGTTTATTCCAACTATGACCCTGGAATGCATTATTCTTTCAGCAGCGTGTAATATTATATGAAATTTTTTTCCTGTTCCTTTATTTGTACCTACCTCCGTTATGGGGTCAGAGCATCTCCAAGCGAAAATCCCATTTTCACTCCAAAATGCAGTGAAATTCAAAAATGCCGTGATTAATTTCCAATCGAACTCTATTTTACGGGCTTCTGCGAAAAACCGTCTTTCTTCTCTTTTGCGCGTTTCTTCTGCAAATCCGGTTGAGACAAAAAAATCGCGTGGGTGAGCAGTGCCACACCAATCACTATTGGCGTCGCACTGTTCACCCTCAAACAAATAACGAAAGATTTGACGTTCGGCTGAGGCGACCGAACGATGCCATGCCCATATTTAGCGTTCGGTTGGAGATGCCCTCACTTCTACCATTTCTGAAATTGAAACTGTGATGTTGCATAGCCACTATGAAAGATTATATAGAGATTGTTTGGTGTCTGATATTTTCTGTGATAAAACTGTCTTGAAACCCGTTTGAGCCTAATTAGATTGAAGAAAAGTTTGAACTGTACTTGTACTTCACTTCCAATCAAGCAGCACTGCAGTATTTCCTTGTTGTATTCACATCTCTAGGGAAAGATAGCTACACTATTGCACTTGATGAAACTTGCTTGACAATTCGCTTATTGATTGTGTTTCTCTCAACAGGCCGCCTTGTATTCCTTGGTAACAATGGCGAGTCTGGGCAGCCCGAGTCTGCAGATTTGAGAAGAGCCGGTTATTATTGAGCAACTTCTAGCCATTACTAGAGCTTGGCCAAAGCTGAAATCTGGCAGCTTTGCAGCAAAGACAAGCATCCACTGCTGTTTTCGCTTGGCTGAAATCACTCAAGAGTGACCGGTTGGTGCTCACCCTTAGGCTGGGAATGGGACTGAAGAAGCAGCATTATTGTTTTCATGCTGGTGCTAATTGTTGTTGGTGTAAGGTTAATTATGATTATATGTATGCGTTTAGAATGGCAATGTTCGTTCTAAATTTTCATAATCGTTGTTGATTTTATTTTATCGACAGTTATTTGTTGTGATGAAGAATGCTTTTACTTTATTTTATTTGATATTTTGATTATTAAGAGTACTTTTTCTATCATAATTGTCTTTTTTCATACCAAACGGATTTCCAATTTCATATGATTTCAAGAAGCTGGTAAAGATATTTAAATATATATAAAAAAAGCTTGGAGGGAGAGGGCCTCAGGCGGGGCAAATTATTAGGTCCGGTCACCTAACAGAGAGATACATTCGGATTTCTCTTTGTTTACAATAAAAGCGCAGTCAAAGCGCTGCTGCTACAGTAACTGTGCTTTTTTTTTTACATAGAGAAATCTGAATGTATCTCTCTGTCAGGTGACCGGATGTAATAATTTGCCGCGGAAGGCTGATTTGATACAAACGGATCTCCAAATTCATATGATATTATTTTATCAACAGTTTTTAAATATTTTAGTATCAATTTACATGTACAAAATAACATAAATAATTAATTTAGTCAACTAATATCTTATAATGCATTATTAACTGCATAATAAATTATTTAATATATATTTTAATAATTTCTTAAAAATAAATAAAAATATACACATCCTTAATGATAATTTACATAAATAAAATAATCATAACTTTAATTTTAAAATTTTTATTATAAATACGGGATAGCACAAAAATAGCGATATAGCGGTTTATAAATAAACTCAAAGAAAAAAAAATGGAACACCTGAATGGGGAAAATGCATTCTTTCTATTGATTTTCCACATTCTAAGAAAGCTTCAAACATTGTATCTTGCTTTTTTTTCCTTCATAGATAATTCGATAAAGAGTGGTAAACTATGCAGCTAATCCCACTCTAAGCTAGAAGCTGGTAATAAGTGGTAAACTATGCGAGCAAAGAGAACTGGCTAATCTCCATAGAATAAATGAGTAGGCGATACGAAAGAAAATGACATGCCACGGAGCTCTGCAGACGCTGACTCTTGCTAATAACGCTCGGAGCAGGGAAAGAGATCGGAGCGTTGATAGTACATAGAAGAGTAACAAATATTTTGATATATCATCAAAATTTTATCTTAATTAAGATCGAATCTAGAGACAAAATCAAGTTAGAAATTTCCGAAATTAAATCTGAGACCATTTGAACTCCGATTTCAGCAAACTTATACTGGAACTGAACGTCTTGAAAAAGACGAACCAAATGACACCAAATTAGACTCAATCTGAGTCCAAATGGGATCAAATCGAAGACCTGAAGCTCATTTAGAAGGTTCAAACTATAAATTGGATGACCAAACTGTTTCCAAATGTTACATACTTATAGTAGAATTGAGTGGCTCGACCAGACAAATCCATCGAGCCCAAGATTGTTGAATTCTAAAATCATTAAGCCACTCAAATACTCGATAAGCGGTTCATGATCAAAGAAGTCAATATTGGCCATCCATTCAAAACACTCCAAACATGCCCTTAATCTCCCAGTTATTTGTTGGTCATGCTACTCACAAAAAACTATAAATAGACCCCTCATTCTGCATGGAAAGGAAAAGGAAGCAAGGGAAGCAAAGAAGAAAAGGAATAGAGAGAGCGTGAGAGAGAGAGAGAGAGAGAGAGAGAGAGAGAGAGAGAGAGAGAGAGAGTTCTCTTACCACCAAACTCCTTCTCGATCATCGTCCATCGCTAGACTATCATTGTACTTCAGCCCAGCCACCGACAGACATCGGGCTTCGGCTCGGCCATCGACTAACGTCGAACTTCTATCCTGCCACTGACTAACTCTAGATTTATGCCTGGCCACCAACTAACGACGGACTTCCACTCGATCGCCGATTGTCACCGGACTGTAAACAAATCAATGTACGCATCAGTATTCATTCCCAAAAAATCATTTAAAAAAAAATAAACAAAACCTAGAGAATCCTGACCAGCCTCACACTCTTGCTTCCTTGCCCTTACCTGAAATAATTTAACCACATATAATGAGCTTAAAAAGCCTAGCAGGTCATCAAAATCTACAATTGATAAATAATAAAACACTACAACTATGAAAGCCAATAAAGTAATAAATCATTATGAGTGTCAAATCTATAAAACAATCATCATATCCGCAATACCAATCAATAAAGAAATCAGATAAAGCATCGAATCAAAATATCAATAAACATTGTTGAAATCAAATCAATGTAGTAAATTCATATAGAAGTGTACACATGCTATCCAATCATTCTATATTACATGCTCATTATATCACATACTTAATATCAATATAATGAATCAGTAGTATCAAATAGTATCGGTATCTATATCAGTAACAATCTAGTGACATGAGCAGTAGAATAATACAATAATAGTAAATTCGTGTAATAACAATAAATCCGTACAATAATAAGTTGCTTCAAAACATACATTTTAATAATCACACTAAACAAATAAGAAGTCTTGGCTATCATGGTGTTTTTAGTGTTAATATTAGTGTTAGTAAATTATTAGCTCAATAAATAGAGTTGTCACTCTTTGCCCATGACACAATAATGATTTCTTTATAACTCTCAATTAGTGTATAACATGAATTAGTAGAAGATGACATCAAACCACATTATTTAAAGGAAACATCATCAGCCCACCATCATGTACATATCAGTCAGTCTCCAACCAACAGATCAACTAGTCTTTACTTGTTTGTTTCACACACATATATTATTATCAATATATTATAATAGTAATAGCGATCAACTATTACTTAAGCTCATATCAACATATATTTTTAATGCATTGCAACAAATAATGTATAATTGAGCTTAATTAAGAAGATCTCAAAATGTCATAATGGTAGACAACAATGAATCCAAATAGGTAAAAATATACATTTTCAGAAAATTATCAAATTATCAAGGAATTTGTAAAATAAAGTTTAAGACTTTTATTACACTACATCACTATTTTTAAATATCAAAATAAATTTTGGTTAAGAAAAAAATCGTTGTATTTTCAAAATCATCAGATGAAAAATCTCAAATAAATAATCAAAATGTTTATAATCATGATCTCTAAACCATACAAAAAGTTACGTAATGAAAGTTTTGTCAATACAAAATTATTCACGTTTTTCGATAATAGAAACAAAAATTTGATTAGAAAAATACAAAAAAAATATAAAATCTTCAAAATCAGAAATAGGGTAAAGGTTTTTTATGGCGAGACGAGCAGTTTTCCCAACTGGCCAGACGGACGAAAATCGTACCACGGCCTCAAAATTTTAGCTTTAATTTTCTCTCTCCTCTTAATTCTCTCTCTAAAAGTGACATAAGATATTTTGTAATAAAATAATATATAATATTTAATTTAATTAACTCTTTTAATTGAAAATTCAAATAAATCATTTTAGGATTAAAAAAATTACATAAAATTTCTCATAATATAAAACATGTTATTTAAAAAATATCGATGAAATCGATTTGCAAAATGGACACATTATGGTCCCCAAATTCTCACTTGTACCGACATGTACAAATTCCTTAAGGATTTTCACCGTTGCCCAAAAATTATAAAAAAAAAGTTTGTAAGTAAAATATTACGATCAAAATACTATGGCGAAGACAATTTGTGATTTGAAGTTATTTGACTTTAGAAAAAAATTGGCAAATTCAAAATACGGATTATTACATTACTTATGGCCACCGATTATTGTCGGTCTTCCCTCCGTCTCCATACAACAGTCTTTCTGACCACAGTCGCCTGCTGACTAGGATTCTTCGAACCCCCATTACCAGATAATAGTCTTTCTGACCATTATAGCCCGCCGATTATGATCCATCCAACCTTTTTCACCTGATGCGGTATTTCTGACCTTCGTCCAATGACGACTACGATCCTTCTGACCTATGTCGTCAAACTATGGTCCTTCCGACCTTCGTTGCTAGACTACGATGTTTCTGACCTTAGTCACCCACCGATTATGTTCCTTCCAACCTTCGTCGCCAAACAACAATCTTTCCGACCTCCGTCACCCGCCGACTATGATCATGCTGACTAAATGAACATGTAAATACTAATTATTCTAAATCCCACAATGTAATGAATTCTATATGATACATATTTGTTACATTAAGTCAAGGCTTTCCCCCCGAGGAAGGATATCATTTGTAATTGAATGCAAACACTAGTAAATTCATTCAAACTGGCCCAGACCCCATTTTTTCCCCTTTTTAAGGGTTTGAATGTAAAAATTCTAGTGTCTCTTATGAATGCTCACTCTCTCTTTTTATATGATTGTGTGATAGATTTTCGTACAAAGATAAGGCATTAAACTTTATATTTCTCTACGGCCACAAATATTCTAGAATACACAATTTGGTGTTGTTTGTGGGAATGTGATTCCTGACTAAGGGGCAATTTTCGCTCCAACCTCAAAATGTGGTTTATGTTATGACTTGACATTAGCCATTGATGCATCAATTTCCTGGGAATTAAATGCGGACTGGGGGGGGGGGCAATCTTGGGGAAAATATCATTAGGATTTTGAAAAAGGGTTTTGGGGCTTTTTGAGATCTCTCTTGTGTTTTTTTAAGTTTTGAGTATTTGTAGTAGCAGGTTGAGACACTACAAAAAGCGATAATATCTATAGATAGTGAGTTAGTAATAAGGTCAAAAGCCTTGGTGATAAAACATGATTCCCCATATTACTAATGGGCCCTGAGTTTGCAGTAAGAAATAAACAATCACTTTGGTTTTGAAACACATCAAATATATTCGGAGACAAAACCTGAGCAAATACTAGATTGGAGACAACCTAGGTAGTTCCATTGGTGAGGGTTTCCTCAGTAGGGGTGTTCAGGTTAGGGATATATGTATGTAATTGAGTTTCAAGGATAGAGGGAGGTGGATGGTGCGAGGGAATACTTATGGTAGGGATTTCAGAGAAGGTAGAAGTGATACTAGAGGACTAGGTAATGGCAATAGTATTAAGGCGTTGGATGAGAACTATATGTTTATGGCTCATGCTACGACCTCCTGGAGGATGAATGGTTGGAGGTGTGGCGGATGATGTAGATGGGCACTGGGCAACCATATGGTCAAAAGGTTGGCAATATTCACACAAAGAAGGTTTCCACTCATATTGAATTTCAAACTTTACAAGTTTTCCTGCTACAGAGATTAAAGTGTCATCTAGATAGGTGGCTTTGTTTAAGACCCGGATACAAACACAGGTGTATGTGAAACGGGTTTTGTTTGTTGTAAGGGCATCAATGGTGAGGAGGTTTCCAATTTTACTTGCAACCTTAGAAATTCCATCAGAACCCTCACAACAAAGGAGAAGATTGTGGATTTTCAACCAAAAGAGAACAAAGTTAAAATCATCACATTTAGGATGAAAGTGAGGCTTCCACTTCTGGAGGATGAAGGGCTACCACTAGACCACTCCATATCAAAATCTTCCAACATGGAAAACTTCAACAAGAAAAACCACCTCTCAACAAAAAGAGTTACACCGTATGTTCAATTATCATGTTTTGCGGATAGCATCGAGCAAGGCCTCATAATAAGCCCTGCACCAGATCGAATAACCGACCAATGGTAGGTTCCATTCTTCTGAACTAGCAACAACATATTCCTAGAGAAGACGATAATCTCCTCTTGAGAAGGAATGAGGGAGAGAGGAAGGTCATTTACGGAATTAAAAAAAAAAAGATAATTTACAGAAGAAGTTTGAGTGGAAAGGATATACTTCTAGTTAAAGGAGGAAGCGTTAGTGCAAGAGGAACTCGGGGCCGAATTGGTGAGGATAGGAAAATCAGAGCTAGGGAAGGAATGGTCCATAGGATGAGGGGCGAGAGTCCCCTGATAGCGCCAGAGGAGGAGGGGAAAAGGAAAAGTAGGGCACTATGAGAGGGAAGGGCAGGCAGCTAGGGCATTAGGTTCAATTGAGAGATCGAATAAAGTAGATTTGTGGTACTTAAATTTTTAGACAATTGAGCTAAAGCAATATCCAATGAAACTTGGATTACAATCTAAAAAAATGGCTAATCCCAAATAGAACCTTAGTTAACACAATGTCAAAAAATTAACTTAAAAGGACAACTAAAAGCCCATAAAAAATATTTCACCGTCCAATGATTTTTTTTTTCTTATGTACAAACCAATAGTCTAAATGAGGGCTTCACTGAGACAAGTAGAAGTCTCTAAAATCATGTTAATGCAAATTTGTGCCCACAAAACTACTGCTAAAACTTTTTTAAAAAGAATTGCAAAATTGGGTCTACACCTTCACATACTTAACGTACTTACTCCATAAACTGTAAAATAACTTTAACGCTGTCACGACAGTAGCCGGTGTTGCCACTCCAACGAGATGATCAACTGTGTTCTGTGCAAAGTTAGATATCAAAAAGGCTTTTGACTCAGTCTCTAGGGAGTTTGTCTTAGCTAGATTAGCTCAAAAAGGCTTCTCCCCGTTGTTTGTTAACTGGATTAAAATGTGTATCTCTGACGTTCATTTTTCTATTGTCCTTAATGGTGCTTTGGAAGGTTATTTTCCATCTACTGCTGGGCTTAGGCAGGGCTGTCCTCTCAGTCCTTATCTTTTCAGTCTTGTTATGGATGCATTCTCTAATCTATTGAAAGACAGAGGTTTTATTGGTATCAGTGCTGATAATTTCAACCTCACCCATCTTCTCTATGCTGATGATGTGCTTGTGTTTGGTGAGGCTTCTTTACACAATTGTCAAAATCTGGCTACCATTCTTAGGGATTTTGGGAATTCCACTGGGCTTCAAATCAATTTTGATAAAAGTGCCATTATGTTTCCTAAGCACCAATCAAATCAACAAAACATTAGCCATGTTCTTTCCATTCAAAACATAACCTCAAAAATCATTTACCTTGGGATACCTTTGTCGTTCAACAGACTTAAGGTAAAAGATTTTCTATCTTTTATGGATTGCATTAACAATAAGTTAAATGGTTGGAAAGCAAACTTGCTGTCTTTTGCGGGAAGACTTCAGTATTTAAAGTTCACCATACAAAATACCATAGGCTACTGGATTCGTGGTTCGATTTTGCTTAAAACGGTGTGTAAGTATTTTAAAAAGGTCAGCTCCAGATTTTTTTTTTTTTTTTGGGACTCTTCTCAATCCAAGAAATTGCATATAGTCTCTTGGGACACTATTTGTCGCCCTAAGCACAAGGGTGGGCTGGGGGTTTACTCTGTTAATGCAATCCAATATGCTTATAATTGTTCTGTTATTATGATGATGTATAATAGTTCTTCTCCCCTATCCATTTGGTTGACTAGCAAATATACTTCCCCTTGGCGGCCACCTCCTTCTACTGCTTCTAAATTTTGGAAATCAGTGTGTAGAACTGCTAGTGATGCAAAGGCTTGTTTTCATTTTGATATCACTGCTAATGCCCCCATTTCTCTTCTCTGGAATCACTGGTGCTATAATATGATGTTAAAGGACTACTTGGGGGTTGAAATTTATGTTCCTGATAGAAAACTGAGCTCTTTTTTCTATAACTCCTGCTGGAATATACCGGACTTCTTGCCTATGCAACTGAGGAGGTTATTTGTTTATTCGCCTGATACTGCTGACCCTTGTTTACGGTGGAAAAATAAAACTGTCATTAAGTTTAAAGATTACATTGATGAGTTATATAGTAGCTTTTCTGATTGCAACTGGAACAAATTTTTGTGGCATAAAGGGAGCTGTTTAAAGCATAATGTTTTTGTTTGGTTGGCTCTGGTTGGGGGCCTTAAAACTGCGGATGCTTTACGTATTAGACAAATTTATGTTCCTAGTATATGTTCGCTTTGTCATACTTATGATGAAACTGCCACTCACCTATTTTTTGAATGCTCATATTGCTTTAAGATGCTAAATGATGTTTTGTCGGACACTAAAGAATTCCTCCTTAGACCAACTCTTTTGCACCTATTTGTCTGGGTGAATACGAAATACAAGGGTAACACTGCTTTGAAAAATTTTCACAAATTCTTGGTTTGTTGTACTATTTACTTCATATGGAAGGAGAGGAATTCTAGGAGGTTTGGTGGGATTTTCCTTAGCTCTGCTTCCCTATCTCTGTCGATTAAAAAAGTGGTGTTTGAGAAGGTGCTTAAATGGAAGAACTCTTTTGGCTTGCTGGAAAGGTTATAAATTGCAGTTTCTGTTGGCTAGTCTGGACAATGATGAAGCTCCTAGCTGCTACTCTGATTGCTCCCTTGGACGGCCTGTGGGCAACCAGGGAATGCAAACCTTCTCGAATTATAAACTATTCTCTGAGTCCAGACTTTCAGGGCTTAGGAGCTTGTTTTCTGATCTCCTCTTGGTTGGCTGCTGCTTTGATCTGATTTTTTTGCTGCACGGGTTCTTCACTAGCCATCTTTGTTTTTTGCAGGTGATTGCTGGGGGGCCTTTCATGCTGTTTTGGTGGGGTGATCTCTGGGTTTTTCTCTCCCAGTATTTTCATTACTGGTTATCTGATTCCCCTTCTGATGGCTTTTTGGTCAGCCATTTACATGTTTTTTCTCTTTATTTTTGGGCTTCTTTAAGCCAGCTTTAATGGCTTTAGCAATTTCTTTTACTTGTAAGTTTTTTTTGATTAATAGAAGGGCTTTGCCCAAATTCCCCCCCCCCCCCCCCCACCCCCCAGAAACAAAAAGGACAACAAAGACCCCCCCCCCCCAAAAAAAAAAAAAGATGATCAACTGGCCGATACCATTTTCAGAAAGTCCTCCCTATGAGCAAATACATGGGGCCATGTTAAAATAACTCCAATTGCACACATTTTGCTTGGAGAAATTTGAATATCCAATCTTTTTGAAACTCTTGCTAGCTCTCCTCATAAAGAAATCATGAGTTGTTTATGATGTTAAATTTTTTTAAGAAATAAAACTTCTGTCAACAATTTTTTATTGATTTTAAATTCAGATTTTGTTTGGGACAGCTTTTTGCCTTTGCTTTTTTTAGATTTAAAAAAAAAATGAGCTAAAAAGTTGTTGTAGAAAACATTAAGAAAATTGTCTCTATGATATGGAGAAATTATTCGGAGCGGATGCTGAACGCGGTTCACAGTCCGAAGACCAATCAGAATGCGACACGTCAGCAGTACCGAGCGGTACTGAGGCGCGGTACGAAGCGGGGGGGTGACGTGTCGCCATCTGGTTGGTCTCTGGATGACATTCGGCGTCCTTTACCCTATGATATGTGTCTTAAATCTTATTCAAGATGATCTCATTCTTAAATATTTCTATCCATTAGCGTAGAAAATCCATTAAAAAAAATAGTGCTTCAAAGTGGGAAAGTGCTTGAAATATCTCTGGGGTGAAGAAAGTGCTTGCCTTGACATGTAAGCATTGAAGGGATATAAGTGTTTTGTAGGGTTCCAGCGAAGTGATCAATCTTCTGCCTCTGCGCGTTGGCTGACAAGGCTATCGAAAACTGGAAAATCATACCGCGCTCTTAATCCCTCAGCCTGGAGACAAATGCACAGCAATGGTCCCCTCAGAGCAAGACATAAATCCTCCCCTCAGCTCCTTACATCCCTACCCACATGTTCCACAAATCAAATAATTTCTCTAGAATAGCTAGGCACGATATAGGTGAGCAAATTTAACCATATAAAGTGCAATTCACAGTCGATCTCCCGTAGCTTTCTTTCTTGCTGTAGCTGCCATCACTGCAACTATCTTCTTGTATCTTTTGAATCCTTCCACTTTCAATTCCTGAACTCTTCTACTCTTTTATTCTTTGTTCTCTTTCTCCAACATCTGATCACTGGAAAGTTCTCTCCTTCCGTCCCCAAAACATTAAATTCTCTTCTTTTTTTTGCTTCTGATACATGACTGAGAAAAAAAAAAACCATCTTTGGATTCCTTTTCTTTTTACCGTTCTATAACTTTTGAGGATCTCTTCTTTCTAGGCTAGGATTTCTGAAAGCTAACCTGAATCCTACTCTTGAATCTATAAGCTATTACTTACCCATTTGTGATCCCTTCTACTTATGGAGGCCAGAAGGTAGCTAGTCACCATGTAAGTTGTAGAATGCTTGAGATGCATAGCTGCAATCCTATAGGTCATCTTCTTCCTCCATGGCTTTCTTTTGTCTTCACTGTGCAGCTTCATAGATAAATTTTAATGGTGTTTCTTTTCTCCTAAGTTTTATTCTGTAAGACAAATTCTCGTCCTTAAACTCTCAAGCGCATCTTGGCAAAGAAATATGATGAAAAGAGCTATTGCACTTCGAGCAATTATCCTTCTCCTGCAACTTATTTGCTTTGAAGTCCAATCCCAATCAGATGGCTCAACTGCACCAATGGAGGAGAAGGAGAAGGAAGCTCTTTACTCAACTATTCAAGGCTTTGTCGGAAAATGGTGGAATGTCTCTGGGCTTTATCCGGATCCTTGTGGCTGGACGCCGATTCAGGTTTGTACAATTTCTATTCTATGACACTCAAATATACAAATAATGGTTTTAATTTTTCTTCCTTATTCAAAAGCCTAGAAATTGAAATGAGCAGTATCATCAAATTGAAACTTCTTAATATCAAGTTTCTCCAAATTTGTTACATTATAATCTTTTCTAACTGAATGAAACAGTAAGCTGAACTGATTGGAGAATCTACTATTCTAATATGTAGTTTCTACATCAAAAGTGACAATCTGATTACTAGTTAGGACGATTCAGGGTGTAAGTGAGTCAAGCAGACTCATGAGTTGGCTCGATAAAGGCTTGTGAGTCGAGCTAGATGTGCTACTAGTCAAATTTGAACTAGGCTTGACTCGATTTGTTCACTCACGAGCTGGCTAGTTTAAAAAGTATTAATATAAAATACGCTTAAAATATATTAGAATTCAAAAGCTGTAAAGCTATTACAAATATTTAAAAATTATCATTTTTTTCTTTTATCAAGTAATTCTTTATTATTAATTTTATAAATTCTGATTATTTTTATTATTTTATTGTAATAATGATTTGAATCATAATCATTTTTCTCTCTTTCGTTATAATTGAGTCATCTCTAACTCATAAAATTAAGTTCGAGCTTGAGCTCGAACTCGATTAAATAATCAAGCTCAAGCTTAAACAAGTAGAGACTCGAGCTCGGCTTGACTTATTTACACCCCCAATTAGTACTAATAATTTATCCTTGAAACTCGAGTCACTCTATAGTAATTCAAATTTTAATTGATACACTCTTCCAAGGAAAATTTAATTCATAAAAATCTACTTGATGAATGATATATGTGAAGAAGTTTTTTTCTCTGCTCTAAGGTAGTAACAGAGGATGTAGAAGATGACTTATGCAGAACGGAGTAAACTGGTATATGCAATACTGTTTGGAAACTATTACATATATAGGTAAAAGCCTAGTTTAGCTCTACTCATGTAAGGTCAAGATTTATTAGGTTTTTTATGTTCTAATAGCCGTAAGGTAAGTGGATGTCTCTTAGAAACTATTACATATATAGGTAAAATACCACTCCAATGGATCCATTGCTCGCTACAAAGCCCACCTCTAGCTCAAGGCTTACTATCAAAAACATAAAATAGAGGTGTTGGGTGGAGGAGGGACAAGTGCCCAACTTCCTTCTTGTTGAAGGGCAAGGAATTCTGCTGCCATGACTTGTCTCCAATGATGTCGTTTATTTGCTTCAGAGAAGCTGGATGGGCCATTGGGTATGGAAGTAGATGTGGGTTTAGTGTGATTAAGTAGAGAGAAGATAGGTTTTGGTTTGAGGGAATCGATTTTGGATCCGGTTATCATTGGATGGGATGGGTTAGTGTGGGAATTTGTGGGGGGAGGGGGGGCATGTATTGAGGCTGTTTGATAGGTTTTGGATGTTGGGGGAAGGGAAGGTAGTAGGAGGGATGATTTGTTGATATGTGGAGGTAAATGTATGTCGTTGAGTGGAGGTAGGAATGATTAGGAGGGGATTGGCAAGAGGTATAGGTAGAGATGTTGTTGGTGGCTGGGCTTTGAATGGAAACGTGGACTCATCAAATATAACATGTCTGGAAATGCAGATGCGACCTATAGTTGGGTTGAGGTATTTGTAATCTTTGTAGGAATTTGAGTAGCCAATAAAGACACTTGAGTTTGAATGGAGAGCAAGTTTTTGTCTCATGTTAGGTGGTAGTTAAGGAAAGCATGCCCATCCTTCGGCCCATCCGAAGGATCGAAGATGTGAGTATTGGGGTTTTTGTTTGTGTAGAAGGTGGAAGAGTGATTTGTTTTTGGTGTTATGAGATGAAAGATGATTAATAAGATAGGCGACAATAAGAAACATATCAATCCATAGAGTATATGGGAGGTGAGACGTATGCAAGAGTGTGCAAGTTGTTTTAAGTAGGTTACGGTGTTTGCATTCAGCGATGCCGTTTTGTTCGGATGTGTAAGGATGACTAAGTTGATGATAAATGCCATGATTTTTTTGAAATGTGTGATTTAGAAATTATGTGCCACCGTCGGTGCGAATACTTCTAATTTTATATAAGAGTTGGTTTTCAATCACATTTTTAAATGATGTAAACTTATAGAAATATTGTATAATATTTGTACCCTTGAGTGGAGGTAAAAGGGAAAGAACACCATACATCATAGCGTATTAGTTTAAGTGGATGAAGTTTGCATTTTGTAAATTTAACAAATGGTAGTTGATGGCCTTTAGAGGCGGTACACGTAGAGCAAAATAAAGAAGAAGCATGAGTTAAAAAATCTCTATTTTGTATAGAGATGGTTGCAATAACTTGACGATTTGGATGACCCAAAAGGTAGTGCCATTTGAGGGAAGAATAGCAGGAGTGAGGGTGGAACATATTTTGGCTGCCAGGTTTTGATCGATTAGAAGCCACTGGTTGTAGTTGGGATTCGGTAGAGTGGCGTCGTTTGTTGGAGTGGTGAGATGCGATGGAGTTTCTGTGGTGTGATCTAGGAACATGGCGGCGAAATTATTGGCCCGTAATAGTTTGTGGATTTGAGATCTCCACATAGGATAGTTGTCATTTGATAGTTGTGTCGGTACTATCGATTTGATATTGGAGATGACAAACTTCAGAGATGAAAGAATGCATGAGGTCTCTAAGAGTGTTTCAGTGGCCACTTCACCGATTTAAGAAGTTGAAGAGTTAGCCATTGATGATGGTTGAGTTCAGGTTCGACTAGAACTCTGATACAATGAAGAAGATTTGTTCTCTGCTCTATGGTAGTACCAGGGGATGTAGGAGCTGACTTAGACTTAGAGTAAAGTAAACTGGTATATGCAATACTGTTTGGAAACTATTACATATATAGGTAAAAGGTTGGTTTAGCTTTACACATGTAAGGTCAGGATATATTAGATTTGTTATGATCTGATGGCTGTTATTTGTCACAATTTTTTTTTTTTTACTTTTTTCAAAAATTTTGTAATAAAAAACTGTTTTAGAAAACATTATTACCTCAAATTAAGCCTAAATCACTCCATCTCCGACTTGTTGAAACACTATATTTTGATGCTCTCATCGTTTGAAAATTTTGAGTGCAGGGAGTATCCTGTGATCTCTTTGACAATGGCATGTGGTATGTAACAACTATAATCATTGGCCCAATCTTCGACAACTCCCTCAAATGCTCTAAGCAAGCCGAGTTCAGCCCCTACCTCTTCGAACTCAGGAACTTACGAAGTCTCTCAATCATCGATTGCTTCTCTTCACAACCAGTAACCATTCCATTTCATAACTGGAACAAGCTTTCTTCAACCTTACAAACCATGGAGTTTCGGTCCAACAAAGGGCTCACTGGGGAGATTCCTCCAGCACTCGGCCAGCTAGTGAATCTTAAATCACTAGTACTTGTTGAAAATTCTTTGCGTGGAGAGCTTCCTTGGGAGCTTGGCAATCTGGTAAGTTTAAAAAGATTAACGCTTTCTGCAAATCAGCTCTCGGGGCAGGTGCCGTCTTCCATTGGAGCCAAGTTGGCTGAGCTCTTGATCATGGACATCAGCAGCAATTCTCTATGTGGTCCTCTGCACTCATCTCTTGGTGGTCTCACTTCGCTGCTGAAACTTGATTTGAGCAACAATCTCTTAAGTGGAAATCTGCCACCAGAGCTTTGCAAATTAAAGAATCTCACACTTTTAGACCTTAGAAAAAATAATCTTACCGGAGGTCTGGATCCATCTCTCGCAGGAATGGTTTCTCTCGAAGATCTGGTTCTCTCAAAGAATCCATTGGGTGGAAGCATCAAAGAAATTGGTTGGAGAAGTTTAAAAAATCTTACTCATTTGGATCTCTCCAATATGGGTCTTGTTGGTGAAATTCCAGATTCTATCACAGAGTTGAAGAAACTTAGATTCCTTGCATTGGACAACAATCAGCTCACTGGATTTGTCACCACGAAGCTTGCAGCCATGCCTTCCCTTACAGCTCTTTATCTCAATGGAAATAATTTTACAGGAGAGCTTGGATTCCCTGAGGAATTCTATAGGAGAATGGGGAGGAGATTTGCCTCTTGGAGAAATCCTAATCTGTGTTACAAAATTGGAGCTGGAAACACAACAGGGAAAGGTCCAGCTGGTGTGGATAGGTGTGTCAGTGAAGGAGAGGGAGCTGTATATGGTGTAGATTTAGAGAACAATCTGGGCAGCGAAGGAACAACTCAGGGATCAGAATCCATAGGCTCCTTTGGGTTCTCAGCTTATTCCATCACTAGATTTCCATGGCCAACTTTCTTGGAGGTTGTGGTGATCCATTTTCTCCTTTCTTTAATGTAATTAAGAAAAACAGAGCCTTTTATATCATAGGGGTAGGGGATTTACTTGTAAAATTTGAAGTCTTTTTTTTCTTGTTTAGCTACATATTCGAACAGGTTTTTCTGAACCTTGCTTTTATAGTATCTTATTAACTCATCTATCTTTCTACACAATGAAAGTTCTCAAATCAGTGTAGTATTTCGAAATTTTAGTTATTTACTTCTAAACTTGCTTTTGAAATGGCTAGTTAGAGTTTCCTTTTGTGTTTTGTGCTAGCCATTAGGAACCAGTTCTAGTGATAGCTTTTGATGTTTGTTATTTTTAATATAATCTAACAGATAAATTAAGAGATTTTGTGGCTGTAGATGTTTCATATATTGCTAAGCGAAAATCTATTGGAGACAGAAATTTGAGAATTTTCACTGTGGGTAATTCAAGAAAAACATATAGTGTTTATCAAAGCAATATACATTCTTTGATGCATCATTTCATTCTTAATTTTTTACTTCTTTAACACATTAGGCATTGTAAGTTTTGTTGTGTATTAGAACATTTGCAACATTAGAGAGATGAAGAGTTTGTTGTCATAGTATTTGTATGAAGATCTGACACATACATGTATAAGAGAAAAATACAAGCATTATAAGAGACACGATGAGTTTTATGTGGTAAACCTAGGAAAGAAAAAAACCAAGGGATCTAGTATAGTTAAAAATGATTCAACTAGTATTTTTCATTAAATACAAATGATGTCCTTTCTTATCAGAATATTCTCAACATACAAGCAATATCCTCATACCTAAGTTAGGTGATTGTGGATAGAGGTCCACAGTGGGCTAAAAGGTCAATATTCAGGGCACTATGGTCAGAGGACTATAATCAGGTGACAGTGGTCAGAAAACCAATCAGACGATGGTGGTTGGAGGATCATAGTTGGGCAATGACGGTTTAATGGCCGTAGTCCACTGATGATGGTGTGAGGATCTTAATTGGATAATGGTGGTCCAAAGATCGTAGTCTAGGCGACGAAGGTTGAAGTTTTGTAGTCGGATGATATAGGTCAGAGGACCATAGTAGGGTGATTGTGATTAGAAGATCGTAGTCTGACGACGGGGTCAGATAATGATGGTGGTATGAGGATTGTAGTCAGAAGACGTTAGAGTGATGATAGTAGTTGATCATTGCTTCAATGGTGGTTTTTTGGCAATGTTTTGAAAGCATTGATCAAGCGATGTACCAACAATGGTGTTTAGGAGGGGGTCCAATGGTGATGGTCGAACCATGGCTTAGTAGTGTCATTTGAGTGGAGATTTGAGATACTTAGAACTTCTAAGCTATCTTGAATCTCATGCTCAAGTCAAAGCTTTAGCTCTTGATCACCCTTCATGTCGAAAGTGGGGTTTATTTATAAAATTTTAAGAGTCACATGCTATATAAATATGGAGAAAATCTGAAACACTCTATCTGGACTACTTATATTGATTCTCTTGATCATAAAATATTCATTCAACATATAAGTGTCGTAATGTTATCAGAATTAAGTGATATTAGGCTCATTAGATTTGTCCCATCGAGATGCTCAATTTGAATATAAGTGTATACACCAATTCATCCTGCACATTCAATTGAACCGGTCGGCCACCATTTTTATTAACCGCGAACAGGAGCGAGCGACAGAAAGGGCGGAACATGACAGGAACAACTGAACTCACTTATGGAAGTTTTTGGAGAACTTATTTCACCATTTTTAGCACTCCATCGTGTTTGGAGATAAGAATCATTAACTCCTCATTCCTATCGCCACAAAAGTGAAGATTAGGTGGAACGAGAGGAACGACTGAGGGAAAGAGGGAAGAAGGTTTGTTGAAATTTTTTAAAATTTTTCTTATAATTTCATTGTTTTCCTCATTTAAAGCAAATGATATTTTGATAAAGGGAAAAGGAATGGATTGAAAGCAAAGAGAAAGGATATTGGGAGAGAAAGAAGGATTTAAGGATTTTGAGAATATTCTCATTGTAAGTGAATTCTCTATTGTACAACTTTATTTAAATTTTGTTATTTAATCACATTTTCATGAAAGTTATACTGTATGAATTTAGGGATTTTAGAAAGGGAGAAATCAAGTTGTAGAAGTAAGTTTTGTAGAAGCAATCAAATGCCTATTAATATATTTAATTGATATTTAATATTAATTAAATTATTATATTCTTGTGAACAGTTAAAAGTTTTTAAAACTGGACGAATATTGGAAGAGGAAAATTAAGCGAGTAATTACAATTATTTGAATTTTCATTATTTCATTCCATTTTTCATATTGAAAGAAAGATTTATATAATTGCTTTGCTTGTTCTGAGGCTATTAAGAATAAAGTTATGTAAACTTCATATGTATTAGATTATCCTTACAAAGTATGTAGAGATGGCATGAATATTTGAAAGAAGGTAAAAGAAATGGGGAAAAAATAGAAAGTAGTTATGCATATACATGATACTCATATGTATTTAAAAAGTATACATATGAATGAATGTTATATGAATTAAATTCAAAATAAATGAAAAAGGAAAAATGATATGCATGCAAACTTACAGGAGTTCACCCTCGTATGGTACTGGCTGGGGACACAATGTACCCATGCACGTAAAAAGGAAAAGGCTATGGAAAAGGAAAAATAAAATAAACATGGTTGTAACTTCGGTATATTTAGATGATGCTCATGTACAAATGAAATAGGAGAAGGAATAAATATCAAAACTTTATAAATGTTATAAAAAAAATGTGATATGATATGCATAAATAACTGAATCGAATGAAATAAACATAAGGAAGGGAAACATATCATATGTATATTAAAGGTTATATGTATTGTATATATTATTTTATGTCAATTATTTTTAACAGTTACCCACTGAGTTTATCTTATAAACTCATTCCGTTAAATTATGTTTCAGGTAAGCCCTCAGAGATCATCTAGTTAGGGTTCTAAAGTTTCCAAATATTATTTGCGTGCTTAATATAGACTCAATTGGGCCACTTGTGGTCATTGGGTTTGTCTCATCGAGACATTCAATCTTATTATAAGCTTGCCGAAATCAAAGATAGGATGTTGTAAATTTAATTTTTCATGTTTCAAATTCAAATACTTGTCAAGATTCATTCCTGGTATATACTATTTTTTATGACATATGAAGTTTAATTTTAAATTGTATATTTTTTCTCTTGTATCATTTATAAATTGAATTATACTAATTGGAGAATCATACTTAAGAGCTAGATTTGTGCATTTATTGAACTTAGTTGCTATCATGAACTAAAGAGCTAGAAGGAGAACAAAGTCGATATTTGATCACACTATTTATTTAGAAGGATGGAGTATTATTGTCAAAAATAAGAATCAATTGAAGATAAATTGAGACGAATTTTGTAGAGATTTCCTCTTAGTGCCATTAGACGTCAAATCATGTTTTGGATTCAATTTGATGGGTTAAAAAAACAACTATAATCAATAGATATAGGTTTAAACAAAATGCCAATGACACACAACCCCATAATTGAAATTTTGACGCAAAAATGAGGCTATCTATTCATTGGGAAATAATTTTACCGCTTAACTTTTGGTATATCTTTGTTGTTAATATTCTTTATGTTATGATATTTTATTTATGAGTTTTTATTAGGAAATTTTTAAAAAAACATCATTTTATCTATTTAAGAAAAATATCTGAAATCTATAAATAGTGATGTAGTACAATAAAAATTATGAAACATAATTATGAACAATGTTCGGTAATCAAGTGAATATATGAACAATGTTAAATGTTTACACGTGCTTTCCCTCGAATTTTCCATTTCTTGACTATTAGTGAGACACTCCATGCTTGCTCTAACATTGTGTATTATATTTAAAAATGCATGTGTTTATGTGTTTATATTCTAAAATATGTGAATATGAATGAATTATTATAGTTAGAGGAAGTTTTGATTTGTTATATGGTGGGAATTATAATGGCCTAAATTTTTCGAATATCTGTGGTCTAAAATTTTCGAATATCTGTGCAACCTGTGTGTAATTATTTTAATTTTAAATATTTCTGAGATGAACAAAAGAGCTTTTAATGATAAGTATTTCTTTGTTTTAATTGAAGTTTTAGTGGTTTTGCGGTCAATAAATTATTTGAAAGTTTTGAAATTCTTTCCAAATTAAATCTTGGAATTTTCTCCCATCACCATCTAACATGGTATGATCCATTATGTCAGTAGTCATATCGGGTCGGATTGTGACACTATATAATGGATAGTTGACCCTAAACCCATCGCGCAATGGGATAACAACTAATTAGGGAGGGCCGTTAGGTATACTTTATAAAGGCAAAGGAGATGACAAGAAATGCACGCCTAAGAGGAGAGATGGAAGGTGGTGAAAAAGATTTTTGTTTGTGAGGCTATTATTTTGTGTTATAAAAACATTGTGCGATCTCATTTAGTACACAATCAAGATTTTTGAGAGATAACACAAGCTATTTGAGCATAAAAACTTTTAAAATACTTTTTTTGCTTGCATTTTTAGTCATTTTATTTCTACAAATTTGTATAAAATTTTCTTATTTTATTTTCCAATTATTTTACGACAAATTTTGTCGAAAAATTTGACTTTAAATATCCCATAATAGCAAAAATTAAAGAAATATACCAATATTTATTTTTATGGGTAAATGTATTCGAAAGTTCCCTCTAAATGGAATAAACTCTAAATGCATTTGAAAGTTCCCTCAATGATACATAGTGAAAATGTTCAAAAAAGTAGAAATTGGGTATGTTGCAGTTGTTGATGAATGAAAAAAAAAAAAAATTTCCAATCCCATGGTGTGATCCCTCTTGAATGAAGGAGTCTTAGACAAAGGGCGAATTATTCGTCTGGTCACTGATGTCCGGACATCCAATCCGGTGATGCCATGTCACCCAAATACACTGGGTCTCGGTGTATTTTGGTAACGTGGCAACACCGGATTGGTGTCCAGACAAATCCGGACACCGGATGCAAT